GGTTTATTGCAAGTCTGAAAATCAGTTTGCAGATTTGTTTACAATTCTAAGGCAAAAAATTAGTGTTTGCAGTTCCTAAAGCAATGAGGAGTGTTAGGAAAATGCTTTAGGATTGAAACATGTCTATGCTCTGATTTTGTTATTTTTATTTATTGTTACTTTCCTAGTTTTAAGGAGTCAGTTGGTACTTTGTTATTCCTGCTTGTGTTCATGGCTTACTCTTAGGACCATGTTGTTAGTGGAGAGTTATTCTTTAAGCCTTATAAATTGTAATGTTTCTGGTTTCAAAAATGCAAGCTTTTATCTTTCTTCTTCAATATATGTTCTTGTTCTTTGTTCAGCAAATTCTACTTTTCTTTTCTCTTGAAAATTTCCAGCAGGTTGAAGCAAGCACCTATATTCAGTCTCGGTGCTTGATCAGATCACAATATGCTACTTCTTTGAAGACTAATTTACAAGGTTGCCTCCAAAGTAAAGACATAAGTCACAGGTTGATCTTCTGTTATCAGGATCACTTCCCTAATCTGAATCACAATAAGCAGTGAGGTAAAAGTTTAAGCATGCATTAAGTTACAAACCAAACCATTGGGTCACATAAAGATATCTGAGTATGCGTTTTACTACCTTCCAATGAGTGTCCAAAGGGTTATACATAAATTGATAAACCTTGTTGACAAAAAATGTTATGTTTAGTCGTGTTATAGTGATGTACTATAGTACTCTTACTATTGACCTGTACAAATGAGGATTATGAAAGCTAGTTCCTTGATGTGCGGAGAGTTTGAGACTGGAAATCATGGGTGTAGGCATTGGTTTACACGATACCATGTTAGCTTTCTTCAAGAGATCAATAATATATTTTGTTTGAAAGAGATGAAGAGTTCTTTCTAGACTTCTAACTGTCTGAATCCCCAGAAAATATCGAAGCTAACCAAGATCATTCTAAGCAAAATTAAAATGGAGTGCTGCAATGATTGTTTAGATTTCTAATAAAGAACTTCTTGTTATCAAAATGTCATCAACATAGACAAGTATATATATGGATGACGTTTGAGATGATTTGATGAGAATTGAATTGTCATATTTAGCAGCATGGAATCCTAGGTGAATAAGAGTGTTATTGAGTTTCTCAAACCAAGCGTTGGTGCTTATTTGTGACCATAAATTACTTTTGTCAGTCTGTATACCAGCTTCTAATTTTCGATGATGAAACCAAGAGGTTGACTCATGAGTACCTCTTCTTGCAACTCTCCATTCAAGAATGCATTATTTACATCCAGCTAGTGAATTGGCCATTGTTTAGAAAGAGTAAGTGAGAAAATAATGAAGATAGTAATGGGTTTGACAACAGGACTGAATGTTTCAATGTAATCAAATCTTTCTTTTTTGTGAAAGCCATTGGCCACAAGTTTGGCCTTTTACTTTTGTATTGAACCATCTGCATTGTACTTGGTTTGAAAAACCCATTTGCAACTAATGGATTGTCTATTAGGAGGTAGAGGGACTAGCATCCAGGTCTTGTTCTTCATTAAAGCACTGTATTCATCCAGCATTGCTTGATGCCAATGTGGTTAGTCTAGTGCTTCAACAACTGTAGCAGGTTCCACCAAAGCATGAAAGGCGTTAGGTTTGAATATACCTGTCTTTCCCCTTGTAATCATTGGATGACCGTTTTCTATGTGTGACACATAGTAGTAGAGTGTAAATTTGTATCTTGAATACAACTATTAGAGGAAGAATCAAAAGATCTTTGAGAGATTATGGGTATACTTGACACTATAGGAGCATCAATACTTACAGGGTGTGAATTAACCTTAAAAGGAAATATTGATTCATCAAAGATTACATGTTGAGCAATATAAAGTCTATTCAAAGGTGACAAGCAAAGGTATCCTCTATGTTGTGTGTTGCATCCCAGAAATATACATTGGGTTGATTTAAAATTCAATTTGTTTGCATTATAGGGAGTAAGAAGTGGATAACAAGCACAACCAAATACTTTAAGAAAATTGTAATCTGGTTTATTTTCAAAAAGTAATTCAAATGGAGATTTACCAGCAAGAATTGGAGTAAGTAATCGGTTAATAATAAAAGCAATAGTAGTAAATGTCTCCCCCTAGTATTTTAAAGGCAAACCTGATTCAGCTAATAATGTTAAACCTGTTTCAACCAAATGCCTATATTTCTTTTTGCTATCCCATTCTGTTCATGAGGGTGAAGACAAGATTTTCTATGTTGGATGTCATGTTCTGCTAAGAATGTAGAAAGAGAAATATATTCTATACCATTGTCAGATTGTATAGCTTTAATTTTCATCTGAAATTGGTTTTCAATCAATGACTTGAAATATTGAAAACATTGTTAGTTTATGATTTAGTCTTTAGCAAAAAGGTCCATGTGTAACGACTAAAGACATCTATGAAACTTATATAATATCTTGCTCCATTAGTAATGAGAGTTGTTGTTGGATCCCAAAGATTAGTATAAACAAGTTCAAAGGGTTTAGAATATATATAGTTAGAGTTTTTATAAAGGTAATTGATGCATTTTACCTAAACAACAAGACTTACAAACAAACTCAGATTCATTATTATTATAGTGTATGTTACAGGAGTTCAATACTTTCTTTCCATGGAGAATGAACCATGACCTAATCTTAAATGCCATCGAACTATGGGTAACATGGAATTGGAGGATTTGGAAACTGAATTAGAGTAGTAAGTAGAGTTAGTATTCAATTCTCTGGTCTTGAGGTTTTGACTTAGTGACTACAGACAATTCATCAAAGACATATAGACCTTTCTTAATTTTGCGTGGACAAGAATCTTGGTAGCATAAGATTTTTCAAAACACTTGTTAGGATGAAATTCAAAGAAAACCTTATTTTCCTTAGTAAATTGTGACACACTGAGCATATTTTTGGTCAAGCCAGGCACATGTAATATTTGATTCAATATGAATGAAGATTGATGTGAATTCTATTGCAATATTGATTTTTTAATTTGTTTAATTTTCATACCTAATCCATTACCTATATGTACCATATCACTGCCTTGATAAGCATATGTTCTTGAAATGATTAATGTCACAAATGGGTCATATTCCTCTCCTAAGCCATCAAGAATGGCTTTAATGCGTTCCTCAATAGAAACAGAGTGACTCACTGCCTCAAGTGAATCAACAATCTTTTGAATTTCTAACATATATGCATTGGCTAGTAACAAATCTTTCTTTATAGCTTTGAATTGAATCTTTAATTGCTTGATCCTTACTCTTGTTCTTGACACAAAGAGTGTTTCAAGCTTCTTCCAAAGATGATAGGATGTTGGGCAGTTTACCATTCGATTATAAAGTTGCTCAGTTATTGATGCAAGAAGCCAAGCAAGAATCAATTGATCTTGTTGTTCCCATTGTGAAAAATTTTCAGATTCTAAACCTTATGCTTTCTTTTTCTCATTTGAATCAACTTTTTCATCTTATTCTTCCTTTTCTTTCCATTTTGTGTTGCACTGTAGTTCTTCACTAGTAATATATTGATATAGATTGTATCCTTTGATTGTAGCTAATGCTTGGTGTTTCCAAGGGAGGTAGTTGTCTTCATTGAGTTTGAAAGAAATTGGGTTGGAGAAGATATGAAGTTGCGCAACAGATTGGGAAATTGGATTTGTAGCCATGGATCGATTAGCTTTTGATACCATGAAAGAATGATAGAAGTGCTTTAGTATAGAACGAAAGCATACATATGTATTGTATATTATGTTGTATAGTTACAGAAAAATGATATTTATAACAAGTGAAATAACAGACAGACTAATATACCCCCAATTAATATTTCATTTTAACAAAATCCACTAAATTTTTTACAAAATCAGTTTTAAATTGAATAATTTATAAGTAATAATGTTTATACCTCTATCAATTTTCACTAAAAAACTTATGTCAATTTTCTTTCAACTTCTTGAAACACTTGTTACATGAGTCATATTGTTATCCCTTCTCATATTCAATTCAATAACTTAGGAAAGAACAACATCAAATCCAATCTTTTTAAAGCGAAACTTCAAATTATGACTTTTATATATTTTAAAAAGAATTATTTGCATTTCACTTTATTATTTCAATACAAACATACAAAATAATAAGAGAAAAGAAATTAAATGAAATAATGAGAGAAGATGAAGGAATTAAATTAAATAATAAGAAATTTTGATACACTTGGACTAAAGAAATCTAACAGTTTCACCTTTTAATTAACTGAAATCATGTTTATGCTGTTGACGTGACTTTTATTTCTAAACTCAGAAGAAAATCACAAATAAATGATTTGAATTATTATCCTCCAATCTACTTTTTAGATTGTATTTCAGAAAGCATTGAAATAATATGTGTCATTTTTTAGGAATATTATTTCGAACAAATAACCTGTACTTTTTTTTATATATACTAAATAAAATATAATTTCTTTTTCACTTTTAAATGGTTACTCTCATGCACAATTTAACTATATTTATAATATTAAAATTATTTGATTATCTATGTTAATGTAACATGCATGACCTTTCGAATATATAAATTTATATTAATTCTATTAGTTATCAGTTTTCAATAATAAAATTTAAAATAAACATTAATATTAAAATTTAAAATTGTCTTAAACATTATAAGAGTAATAACTCATTAATATTAAAATTAAAATTACTTTAAATATTACATTTTTTGAATATATCAAAACTGAAAATAAAAAATAAATACATTTAACCGATTTAAATTAAACTATTAATATTTATTATTGTAAAAATAAATACATTAATATTAACATATTAATGTAATTATAAACATAAATTTCTCTTTAAAATTTATTTATTTTTATATATAAAAAGATAAAATAACTAAAATTTGAAAGAAAAAGAACAGAAGTAATATCTGGCTTGTCTATTATTCTCTATAAAGTAAATTTTAATATTAACAAAATGTATAAAAAAAATATTATAAGAGAATTGGGTGAGGTCGACCTGAGTAAGGGAAATAACAATGTGTATCGCGGTGTTTATGTGGCAAGCTCATCCAAAGTGCCCCTTCCTTCTCTTACACAACAGGGACGAATTTTATTCTCGGTGAGTGAGTTATTTTCATTTTCAGAATCAGAATTAAGAGTAAGAGACAAATGGATAATTGATTATTACTGATTGACCTTGGAAACATGAAAGGCCTACGGAAGCGTTAGCATGGTGGGGAGAGGAAACAATATTGGGTGGTAGAGATGGGTTAGGCGGTGGCACGTGGTTGGGTTCAACGAGAGATGGAAGGATCGCTTTTCTCACCAATTTTAGGGAACGTGAGAGTCTTCCACACCCTAAGACTAGAGGAGACCTTCCCCTTCGTTTCCTTCAGGTTTGTTAGATCTCGCACCCCATCTGTTTGCCACTTTGTTTCTTACCACTTTCCGCTCATTCTGTATTCTTTCTTAAGTTCATAAGGTTTTCTGAAATTGTAATCAATCATCAATTTTACTTTATATTAGAGACAGTTAATCCTGAATTTTACGTTGGTTACTAAGGGAGTGTATGAAATGGATGCGGATATTCTGCACTGAAACGCACTAGTGTATTTTAACTTTATCAAATTTAAATTAGCTTAACCAAAATAAAAAAATAGGAGAGAGCAGGAGAAAATTATTAAATAAGTACTTAACTAAATTTTTATCTATATATAATTTGAAAATCAATTATGTTAGTGCTTTGAATTGGACAATATCGATATCCTCTTTCACTTGAGGAGCTAAATTAACATAGAAAGTTAGAATACCGGTGCATGCCCAGGCAAATTCCCAGAGAAGAACGGTTCAAATTGATTTCACTGGAATGGAACTAATTATGAAAAGAGAAGAAGAACAAGACGATTTGGAAGATATATTTGGGAGTATGTATGGTTGAGTTCCATGTGTGTGTATATATATAATGGGGCAAGATTTTTTATGTCGATAGATTTAACTTAAATAAAAAATTCAGATTAAGTATAAGAAGATATTTCTTTTATATATATATATAATTACTAATTCTTTAAAAAATTAACTCAAATATATATTAAATTTGCGTACATTTCTAGAATTTCAGAATGATTTTTTTAGATGCTAATAATCGAGACTGAATTTATATTTTACTTTTGTGATTATCGACTAAATCTTTAAAATTATATGGATCACATATTTATATTTTTGGAATTTTAAAAATCTTTTATTAATGTCTGATATTATAAAATAATATTTGTTTTAATACAAAGTGAAAGTAAAAAAGAATATTTTTTACATAAATAAATACCAACAAAGAATTTTCATGTTTTCTAGAGTAAACGTCTAAATATACTTTTCATTAAAAAAAAAAAAAGACTAAACTACACTACTCATGCAATTTCAAAGATTTATTGGAGGGTTTATTATTATTATTATCATCATTATGCTTCTTTTCATCATCTCACTTATGTATGGCATTACATTCGTTAATTCCTATATTCACAACGCAGCAGAGCAACAAGAGTCCCAACGAGTTTGCAGAGGAAGTTCTGAAAGAGGCGCATCAATATAATGGATTTAACCTCATTTTAGCTGATATTTGCAGCTCTACCATGGTTTATGTGTGCAATAGACCAAAACAAGATCATCTTTGTGTTGCCCAAGTTACCCCTGGAATTCACGTGTTGGCTAATGCTACCCTCGACTCTCCTTGGCCAAAGGTAACAACCGTATTATTTTTAACTTGGGTTAATTAATTTTTAAATTCTATTTCTCATTTTTTTTTCTCGTATTTAAATTAATTAATTTGAGATTTTCTATAAAATAAAATTTTAATTTTAAATGTTATTTGATTATTGACTTATCGTTCTTAAGCAAATTAAAAGAAAAGCAAACTTATAAAATAATGAGATTTAAAGTATAAAAAAGATAATAGAGGGAAAAATGCTTTAAATAATATTTATTTGTGTAAAGTAGTATGTTCAAATACAACAATGATTTTTTCTTACTCTTTTATTGGGTGTGAAATTGGTGAAAAAAGAGAGGAAAAAAATAAAATGAAAAAGCGAGAAATGCAATAAATGATATGATAGAAAAATAAAATAAAAGCAAGAAGATATATCAAATGAATATAAGAGAAAATGATATGAGAAAGTTGGAAACCATGTAGCACTCACCCCTATTTATACTCATAATCTTAACTAAATATAAAATCAAATAATGAAATATTAGAAAGCGTATAATTTGAAATTTGAAAGTACAGTAAATAAACCCATTTCCATAAGTAATTATAATGATTTAATTACAAATATAAGTAAACAAATGTTATATTTGAGTGTGTTTTGGAAACACTAAAAATAATTTTGCACATTTTGGTTTTGACACTTACAAAGACTGAAGTGTATGTCTACAAGCATGAATTCCTAACATTACAAAGACCCTCAATAGCTTATTCCATATTTGGGAGTTTCATGTTGTTGAAAAGCTATGTAGCCTTGAAATTTTTATATAGCAAGCAAAGTTGTGATTAGTAATAACACTAGTTGAATTTTGGCATCACCTTTTCAGGCTGAACGCCTGCGCCATAATTTCAACGAACTAATTGCACACTATGGAGAAAGTGATTTTCCAATTAAAGAAGTGGTTGAGAAGCTGATGACAAACACAATCAAAGACGAGGACTGCATGCTACCCGGGATTTATCCTCCAGAACGAGAACGCCCTTTGAGTTCCATATTTGTTGAAACAGAAATTTTATCGGTAACCAACTCACATTGCATTCATTTACATGCTTAACACTGCTTTTACATGTCAGAGCTAAAAGCTTGCTTTATGCTTAGGAGCGTTATGGGACTAGGAGCTCTTCTGCCTTGTTTGTGAAATCAAACAATGAAGTCATATTCTATGAGAAATATCTGGACCAGAGGCAATGGAAAGAGAAAATGGTGAGCTACGTGATCAATGAGAGAGAATGAATGGCTGGAATATGTTTTTTTCTTTTCTGCTACTATACTTCAAATAGGTCAGAAGTCATGTAGGCCTAAACCCAAACAAAAGAAAGGAATAAGTATATATGTAATTAGTCAAGTTACAAGTATATAATTTGGCCACTGGCAACTTTGTCAGTCTACACCAATCTAACCTCAACTAGATTGGATTGGATCGGTTGGTTAATTTTTTTCAACTTGTTTTGAATGTTTTTCTCACTTGGATATGTATATTTTGCTATTGTTTATAAACATAATAATGTTTATTTATACAGTAGTAGGAGACCTTTAGTTACACTGAAAGAGAAATTGTATTCTTTGCTCATGTTTTTCATAACTTTTTCTATAACCTGGAGAGTGATAAAAACAGAATAAGAAGTGTAAGATTGCATGATATGAAAATAAATTATAAAAAAATTGTAAAAATAAAATAAGTAACTGAACAATGTATCTCAAATGACTAGATTTCAAAGGAGCACATTGTGCTCAGCTTTGGCTGTGGTTATAGATGGACCAAAATATAAAAGCAAGAATAGACCCAAGCTAACATTTCCTCCCTTGTGCTTTGTTTGGATGCAAAGGTGAAATAAAGAAAGAAATAAGAGGATGAGAAACAAAATGAAAATTATTTAATGTTTGAATAAGTTGAAATAGGAAGAAAATGATAAAAAAAAATTCTTCCATTTATTTGGATAACTAAAAAGAAGTGTAGATAGAAATAATTGAGTTGTACTAAAAACATTTATAAAAAAATTTTAATTTAATTTAAATTTTTTATAATTTTTATATTATTTTAATTAAAAAAATTCTCAGTCCTTGCGACGATTCTATCTCCTTCCCTCCCCCTCCATGTCTATTACTACCCCTTTCTACCACTTTTGGATTTTTTTCTGTGGTGGGATCCTAATAAAACCCCTCCTCCTCCTTTCTCTTCATATCTGAACTAGTGTTGTTAAAAAACAATAATCACGATGTTATGGCAGGTAATGATGGCATTTTTTAACCAAATCACTATGACCGTGGCACAAAATGATGATTTTTAGTGGTAGCATCATAACAGTCGTTAGATGCTTGGCAGTAACATCGATCATGGCAGAAATAGTGTTTTTGATAGGAAAAATTAAGTTGGACTACAGCCCCACCTAGTCTAGAGAAGAAATCTGTAAGCCTAAATCCTAAATCACGTAATCGCATCTATTCTTCCTCTCTCTTCTTTGTCTCACATCTTTGTCACTATTGGGTTGTGTGGAGTGGCGGTGTGCTGCGTGATACTTGCTATCATGAAGTGTTTCTTCCATCGCAGAGGTTAAGCCCTGATCACAGACAGTTCTCAGTGTGAGTGCGCATGATGCACATTTTTGAAGCATAATGGAGAAAGGGAGCAAAAGTTTGATCTTGCCCTTGCTACAATGTCGTTTAGGGCTTTTTTTAAGGGCAAAATGCAAAATTTTTTCCTTCTCTTCTCGAGCAAGAGATACGTGCACATGTTCTCTCTTGAGAAGAAAATCAAATCATTTTAGGAAGTGTAACAACAACAACAAACAATTATAAACATGAAAATCAATATGAATTGAGTGATGCTAAGCTAAAAATGTAAAAATAAAAATAAAAATGAGTTGAGTGATTTGGAGTTAAAAGTAAAAAATTGATTAATATTATAAAAAAATATTTAAAGTTAAAAGAGAAAAAATGATTAATATTAAAAAAAAAAGAGTCAATTTTCAATTTTAAATTGAATTGTAATATCAACGTGACTTCAGTAATATTAAAATATTAGCTTTTAAAAATTTAAGATAAACAAATAAAGCAAAACTTTGAAAAAGATAAAATATTAGTTGATTATCTAATTGAACACAGTGTCATTTAATACATTATTTAATGACTTGTGCTCTAATTATTAAGATAATTTTATTAATTGTTATTTAATGTTTTTTATTTTCTTTTATTTATTTGTAGGATAAAGCAAATGGAAGCATTACTTTTGGCTATTTGGCTCAATATTTAGACACCTATTTTTTTAATTTAAGAATTTTAATACATTATCGACATATTTTGATTTGATATTATATTTTATTTTTAAAAAGAGAAAACTATTTTTAGAAAAAAAAAAAATAAAAGGTTTTAAAAAAGAATTCAAAGTTATTATCCTATAGATATTATTTTGAAGTATCAAGAATAACTTAATTCAATTGTTTAAATATAACAATATTATAACAGACTAAAAACAGAGCTTAATGTTAACAAGAAATTAAAAAAATAGTAATACAACGTACGAAAGAAATTATATGAGATGAGCCTAAGACTTATGGGTTCATCTACTACATTTTTTTTATGCTTAATTAATTTAATCCTGATATTAGTATCTAAATATTTTTCAATCACTCATAATTAGTTCTATTAATACCCAATAATTATGTAATGTCAATATTCTTTTCCCTGAGCAAACACTTCAAATGATTATGCAAGGTAATTGATTGAAAAAACATGAAAATTCTATGAGTTTGTTAATTTAATAACAGCTGAAAGAAACGAATTAAGTGTGATTAACCTAATCATTTGTCTCGTTTTATCCTATAGTTCCTTTAATTACACGTAGTACGATCGCTTACAATGTAACTAACTATAGGATGCTGAGGGTGATCAAATCTTAATATACACAATAGAATCTAATAGAATAAAAACTAAACATTAAAGTAAAAATCACATAAGGTTTGCAGTAGGATCCACCATAGCCCTAATTATGGGTTTAACTACTCATAACAAAGTTTCTTTGGACTTTTGCTAATCGGGGCTAAAATTTCAGAAATTAGAAATACCAAAATAGGAATAAAGCTAAGATTTATGATACATGTATAGGTTTATGAGTGATAAATAAACTCATAACCACAAAGAAAAACTCAAATAAAAGAAACTCAAAAAGATAAAAGACGAAAAAAGTTCTCGTTCTTTGAAGGGCACTCAATCACTTGTTTGGACTTCAAAGGGAAGGTCGTCGTCTTTGTCAATGGTCTCTAATGACTCTCAAAGATGAGTTTGGTTAGAATTAAAAATGAGAAAAAATGTGTGTAGAGAAGTAAGAAGTGTATCAAGTGTGGAGTATAAGACCTCTTTTATATAAATTGTACTTTGAGTTTTCAGTCGGTTGAGCTCTATCTTTTTAAATTGGCTTTATTCATAATCAGAATCGCTCCAAATTTTCATATCTCAATCTTTATTTAATTTTAAATTTTAAATTCAAAATTCAAACTTAGATTCACATAACACAATCAAGGACTAAAAGTATCTAAATTTTATTCAAAATATCTCTGGAATGCATTAATAACAACTTCTAGCTAAACTGCAACAATTAATAACATAATTAGTGTAAATATATATGAAATAAAGTTTAAGTGTATAAATACAAGTCATAAAATATATTAAAATATGAACTTATCAAAATCAAAAATATTTATTTATTTTTTATTTTTAATTTTATTTTGTTAGAATCATTGTTTTCTAATTGAAAATGAGTGAATTTGTAAAGTGACTATTTGTTTTGTAAATTAGTGAGTATTCGAAAACTAATTATTTTTTTCTTGTAAAATCTTAGTAAAAAATTATTAAAAAATAATAAATAAATTACTAAAATAAGAAATTTGAGAAAAATTTCTATATTCAAGAAGCTTTTGCATGAAAGAATAATAAAATAATTGTAATTATTACTATTATTAATAAAATTAATCAATTTATTTTATGTATTAGTCATGACTTGATTAGTGTTTAAAAGGATTTTTTAAATTAATTTCAATAATTATTTTAAAATATTGGTTCTTAAAATCAAAGTTTGATTAAAATGATTCTTAATATTTACAATTTGATCTTTTTTTTTAATAATAAAATCTTAATATGTTAGCCATTATACAATTTTTAGAGGAGTACTTCAATTGATTTTGATAATCTTTGCAAGAAAAATCTATTTTATTTTATTTTTATAAAATTTAACTTTTATCATGAAAGGATGACTTAATTATATTTTTTTTGTTCCTATAAATGTTGGTCATTTTATAATAAGTCTATATAATTTTTTTTTAACATTTAATTCCTGTAAAGTTGAAAAATTAGGATTTAGTCTCAAGGTGTTAACCCTTCTCAGTTAAGTGTTGGTTGATGAAGAATTAGTTTAACACTTCACGTAGTGTCACGTGGTATGCCACGTCATCTTTTTTTATTTAAAATTAAAATTTACAAATAAGTCTTTAAACCTATTTTATATAATTGTATAAAAGCTTTTTCTTCTTCCCCTTCTCTTTCTCCATACCTTTTTGTGACACCTCTCCTCCACTTGTACTCCTTCCCTTTTCGACACCTCTACTCCCTCCCTTTCTCCCTCCTCACACCACCACTCCTCCCCTTCCCCTCACACCCCCTCCCTTTTCTCCCATCCTCACCCCTTCCTCTTCCTCTTTTTCATACCATCGTTTGCATCACTCTTCTCCCTCACCCACTTTCATTCTCCCATCTGCACTACCCCTTTTCCCTCCCTACACCTTCAGTCCCTTCCATTCCCTTCACCCTAACTCTTTTCCTATTATCTTACTCTCACTCCTTTTCTTGTCTTACTTTTAAATTTTTTCTTTCCCCACTTTATATCTCTATTCTCAACTCATTTTTCACTTTTTTTTCTATTAAAATTTTGTTTGTGTTTTAGATATTTTGAGTGGTTGTGTGAAGGTTCTACATTGGGGGAAATGATGCTAGAAGGAGGTTGTGGAGACATGAGGGGATGTGGAAAAGAAAGAAAGAAAAGTTAAAAGAGTTTTTCTGCAATTATGTAAAAGATGTTTAAGAACTTATTTACCATTATATAATTTTAAATAATAAAAAATATAAAAATTAAATGACGTAATATATTATGTGACGCTAGTAGGTGTGCTGCGTTGACACTTTGTCTGCAAGCTTAACACTTAACAGGATAGAATTGACGGTAGAGACTAAATCTTAATTTTTTAATTTTTTAGAGACTAAATTCTAACAAAATTTTTTATAAGAACTTATCGTAAAATACTTCATATTTATAGGGATAAAAAATATAATTATGTCTAAAAAGATTAACTTTATAACATTACATAAAACTAAAATTTAACTATGTTTATTAGAATTTTTTTTAACTATATTTAATTTAAAAAAATAGAAGATAAAATCAAAATTAATCTTACACTTAGAGGATAAAAAAAAAACTACTTTTACTTTTTATATGTCAAAATTTGTGCAATTTATAAAAAAAAAAATTAACTAGAAATAATAATAATAATAATAATTAAAAATTTGAATAAAACAAACCAACGATAGAATACATGAAATAAAATAAATATTTATAATTTAGATAAAACCTAGTGAAATATTTTTTTTTAATTTTTATACCTTAGTGCGTAATAGTCGATAAGAATTGAATTCGTATTTCATAAAAATGTAAGTTTAAATTTCGGTGTTGATATAAAAATATGGTTAGCACGTGATTTAGAAATGTCCCTGTAAATATTTTAGAAATTTGAAGAGATATCCTAATAAGCATCATGATTGAGAACGAGCAAGGGAATATCTGTGAGTTGGTGCAGGGGAATTGCGAGTGGGACAGTGTGGTATACAGCATTCGATGGAGTTAGAGGTGAAAGTGGTGGGAGGCATAGACAACTGTTTCGCATCTCTTCCTCTGTCTCTAATCCAAACTCTTCAGTCCACGCGATCAACACCGCTTCCTCAAATTCTGGCTCTGGAGCTTCGCTCTCACACTCAGCCTCCACACTCGTGGTTCGTTGCTTGGTCCGGTGCCAGTTCTTCTTCTTCCGCCATAGAGGTACCTTTTCCCTTTCCCTATTTACTTGCTTTCAATTCCACTTCTAAAACGCCCAACACATACACAAATTGATTGTGCAGGTTTCGACGCGATTTGCGGAGTGCGTTTCGTTGCCAAATCATGCTAGAGTTCAAGTCAGAGTTGCTTCTAATGTGCCACATGCTTCTCTGGTCACCGTAGAGCCACACACAGAAGATGACTGGGAAATCTTGGAGCTTAATTGTGACCAAGCTGAGGCTACACTCCTCAACCAGGTATGTATGTGATTGTTCCTTCAATCAACGCCAGCATAACGCAATTTATTTGAAGAGTGATTAAGGATTGGAACGTTCTGTTGAGAATATTAGGTATGCTTTCATTGTAATTATCAATGCTAAGTGGTGATGTTTTCTCTCTATTCTATTCAATTGAATTTTTAGGGTCTGTTTAGAAGAGTTTATGGACAGCTTAAGGGCTCTTTTTTGCTTATTTCACTAAGCTTCTTGCTGTAGATTTTCAAAATAAGTTGCTTTCAACTTATCTTAATAAGTTAAATTTATGCACAAGCCATAATTTTAAATGAGTTTTTTGAATAGGCTTTTAATTAAACTGTGTATCCAAACACACTCTTAATCCTTTATGGTTATTTTACAGTCCCAGGCTAGTCCTTTATCCTTTATTTATCTCAGTTTGGTTCTTTATATCTACTTTTTGGTCTTTTTTTTTTTTTTTTAATTTGGTCCATTTTGGTCAACTGTGATGGATTCTGACTGCTAGAAATTATTTCTCTACTGTTACTAAAACCAATAACTTGATAGAAAGGACCAAATTGATAAAAGAAAAAGAGACCAAGGACGAAATTTAAGAAAAGAAAAGAAAAGATAAGGGATGAAGCAGGCTTCAATTTAGTTTTTTTCTAATTTTTTCAATCCTTTCTCTTGGATCTCATGGTAATGTATTATATTATTTATACTACTACACTCTTTCCCCTTCCTTTTCTTTCATACACCTAAAATGGAAGTAGGTTTGAGAAGAAATTAATCAATACAATGTTGTGGATGGCTTAATGCAGGTTAGGATTGTCCACGAAGGGATGAAATTTCCTTTGTGGTTGCATGGTCATACTGTCATCACATTCCAAGTGGATTCTGTTTTTCCGAAGAACGTGGTAGGTAAGATTATGCCTATTTCCATCTACAATGTTCTTTGATATATCTCGTCACATTCTTTGTCAAAGCTGAAATATCATTAATGATACTTTGTTTTTTGGTTTCCTTTTTTGTGTTAGTGTAACTTAATCCCTCTTGAACTGCTGTGGCAAACATGATAGAGATGTAGCTATCAATATAGATGCCAAAGCAAAAATGCAACCTATGTTCTTCATGATCAGGAGTTTTCTTTTCTTTCATTTGAAATAAAGATATTTATTTTTGAACGTCATTTGTTTGAGGTTCTGTTTGGTATGCTTCTCATGTTGCTTCAAGAGAACTACTATCTCTCAAATGTTATTTCTTTTCAGTATTACTATAAAACATGATTGAACACATTTAAAATGTTATTAAGTAGCTGGATATCTCATGTTGAGCGTAGGTGAGAATGGTTGTATTAGTTATTCTCTTCCTCTGTGCATTCTTGCAGTTCCAGTGTAAAAATATCTCTTTTGATTGCCAGTCTAACATGTGAAATTTTGTCAGTGCAACTCAAGCCAGGAACTGAAGTTGCTGTTGCTCCAAAAAGACGCAAAAGAATTTCCTATTCAGCAGGAGATTCACATCTCTACTCCTGTAATAAAGAGCATACTGCTAAGATGCTGCTCCGTTTACAAGATCCAGATGGGTTATGTACTACCAGTACTCATTTCAAAGGAGTTGAGCTTCATATGGAGCTTACTTCTGTTGCTTTTGTTCACCCAGAAACAGCCAAACAATACTCATTCAACATGCTTCAGTTGGTTTCAATAATGCCCAGAGTGTCCAAGGAAAATGTTTTTTCCCAGACTAATATTATGAAAGCCAAAAATGGTTCAGCTACTAATGAAGTTGAGAATGGATATACGGACAAGAAAGAATATCAACAAGCAATTGTTCAGCTGTTGACTTCAGAATCTGTGGCTGAAGGACATGTGATGGTAGCAAAGTCTCTTCGCCTTTATTTGAGAGCTACCCTGCATTCATGTATGTCAAGTTACCCACTGTGTTTTAGAATCAATTGTATGTGCATGCTCATAAATTTAATTGTGTAGGATACTAGGATATTGTGCCCAGCAAATTGTTATTAATGTATTTGATGTTTGGTATTTATCTGATCTATGTCTGTAATTAGGAGATAAGCAATCTCTAGTTGCATCATGCTGTCATGCATGGCAATTAGGGAATAAACTGTTATTTTGAAAAGCAGTGGATTTTCCTTGGTATGTTATTGAGTTTTCTATGGCATTTGGAGAAATTAGAGTGGAAGGGTTTGTTGAGGGCTCTTTGGTTGATTTGTTGTTTTTGGTTGAAGTATAATTGTAGATCTTCCAATGCAATATTTTAAACCTTACTATCACAGTGAGGTAGAATTTTTTACTCTCTTTTGGTGTTCATCTCATAGTTTTACATGTAAAGGGGATAGGAGATTCCTTGCCAATATTGTTTATTCCTTTTCTTCTCTTTTTCTTGTGATACATTGGAGGTGTAGGCATCTTTGTATTGGATGGGGATGGGTGGCCTAGTGGAGGATCAAAGCTTTAAAATCATCTTTGCCGATAAATCTTAGGTTTAGGTCTGTGCTAGACAGCTAGTTGAGCTACAGATTCAGTTCAATAGTTCCCCCTCCCCTTTTCCTTTTTCTTTATGTGACATTTTACCATACATAAACCAAATCATACAATGATCCTTACATAGGAAAAACTCATTCTGGGGACTTATTGGTTCCTTATTGTATTTTGTGCTCCTTGCTTTCTTCTTTCATCATTTGCTTTTGCAGAGAAATTCATCAACATTTATTTAAGATGTGATTTTTTTTTTCTTTACTCTGATTTGATGACAAGATTTTTTTTGTTTCATTTATTTCTAAAAGAAGTTCATTAAGAATTTAAGATGAAGGGAAGAAAAGTACAAAGAGAAATTAAAAAGCAGAAAAGAAAGCATCAACGGTGCAAAAAAAAACATGCTGTCCGTTATAGTGTTTTTGGGGTTGGCCACCACGCACCACTATTTGGGATTGATTACCATGTTAAAACACTTCTTGTATGACATCATGCTCTTACTAAACTGAAAATCCTTTGATGCTAACATCTATTTCCATCCCTCAATTTTGAAGTTAATCTCTTCGTTTTACTCCTCAACTAATACTAAATGATCTACACAAAGCATGCATCTAATCTTTTGTGTCTTCAGTAAGAATATTTAAGACTAGGTTAAACAAGGGTTGCATTGCTGCTATAATTTGTGTTACCTTTATCATTTTATGGGCAGACAGCATGTTGCATTTTACTGTTTTCTTTGGCTGTTTACTGTATATTTTCATTGAAAAATTTATCTGTCCTTTCAGTTTTGATATCTAATTTTAACAAGAATATTGTGTTTGTGATTGCACAGGGGTTTATTTGAAAGCATGTGATATTATTTTGGAAAAAAATATTCCTTCCATCTCTCTTTTTCCTTGTCAATTCAAACTGTTAAGGAAGGAGAATAATGCTGAGAAAGATGGTTTAGAAGTTTTTCGTGGCCCCAAGAATCACATTGATAAAAATTTGCATGCAAATGCTATGTCGGGTGTCTTTGTGGATACAATAGATTGGTCAATCCAAAATGAAGTTGTAGCAGCTCTTTCTGATGAATCTGATTACAATGCAGAGGAAGAGGCTACAAATCAGTCTCAGAATAAAAAAGGATTACAGAGTCTTGTACGACTATGGTATATTGCACAACTTAAGGCAATTACTTCGATTACGGGTATGGAGGTTAGTTCATTGGTTTTGGGTAATAAAACCTTGCTTCAATTTGAATTAAGCTGTTGCAAACTTGCAAGTAATGGGAAGGTTCAGCCAGCCTATAATTCTTCAGAGAACAGTGGCAAGACAGCTGAAATGTTATTTTTATTGAACATTGGTGAAGAATATCTGCATCATGGGAAACTTAATGCATATGAAGTTGCTCTTGGTGAAAGACTCAATAACATCAATATTGGGGATCTGAAGCTTTTTGAAAGGATAAAGTATGGCAATCCTGTGTCTATTCATTCTATAGAAGAGAGAGCCTCTGAAGACCACAGTAGTTCAAATGTATCTTCCCTTGGCTGGATGGAGAAAACTGCTTCTGATGTTATCAACAGTAGGTTTTTTTCTTGGGTGAAGCGTCCTTTACTCACTTGATTTTCTGTTATGATAATTTTTTTAAAATAAAAACTTAAATGAACCTTTGTATGTGTTGCTTCTATCATTGATGTCAATAAATGTACAAGCAGAGTAGAAAAATGTCCAGATGATATCTATGTAGACATAACCCTGGCATTGGCAATATGAAAATTGTTTGTAAATAAAGATTAAAATGCCCTTAAGTGGTGCATATGTTGGTTGGTTTCTGGGCATTATTTTTTAATACTATTTGGTAGTTGAAGTTAGGAATTTGTTTTTCTTGATAGTCGGAGTTATTAATTTATCTTATCTCAGTTGTAAAAAGAGAAAAGGCATATTCACTGAATGCATAACACTGACACCTAAACCTGTATTTTGTTGATGTTGTTATTATGATTTGATGCATATTTTTTTAATGTATTGTAAACTACCACCTTTTTCTGATTGTTAATCTTTCCTAATTCTTGCATGTTCTTCCTCAAGCTAGAGCATGTGTAAAAAGCTGGGACCTTGAATGAAGTCTCCTTGAATAGGCTTTCATGCCATGTAAGGAACAAGGGGTGGGGTGGGGGTAGATACAGAGATACATATTTTATTGAAGGTCGAAGTTGTGAGTAAAACTGATACTGCACTTTTCTATTTATGCTAGAATTGTACAATAATTATATGCAAGGTGTGTTGCAACTTGCAAATAACACTTCCTGATTTCTGTATTTCCTAATTTCTTACAACCTCTTTTTAGTGGTTGTTTGATAATGATGTGGGATCTTCCTGTGTCATGAGATTGTAAATCTTCTCAACTGTCTGAGGAGAGAAATGCATATTATTCTCAGAAAGAGGTTGATTCTGTGCAACTTGTTTTTATCTGCTGAACATATTTGTTAATTAAGATTCCCTACTTCTGTGTTATTTTGGGCTGTTAGTATGGATGACCCATTCACTGATTTATTAGAATTTTGTTTGAGAAATGCCAGATTCATCTGTTTTCCTCCTTGATGCTGCTGCTCATTAATTTGAGTTCTGCTAACTTAAATAATGGTTGTACTGTTTGGGATGTCCTTTAGTGACATTTAACTTGCTGTTTTTTCTGACTGCAGGGATGTTGATATTGTTATGTTCAGCATCTGGTTTGTGGTTTGGCTCACACAACTTGCCACTCCCTGGACATGTTCTAATATATGGACCTCCGGTGAGTTTAACTTCAACTTTTTTGAGTATTACCATGAACATGGCTATTAGTATTAGTAAACTACGGATTCTAATTGCTGGATGGTTTAAATGGAGCAAAGGTCTCTAGGTAATTGGTTCCATTGGTCGGGGCGGGGGGGGGGGGGGCACACCTTTTTGCTACCAACCACGCTTTGTATCTTTATGTTGACCTGTTTGAGCTATATACTTCATTTTATACACCCGTTGACTCTCCACAGGTTTCTTACCTACTGGCAACTGCTCTAGCCCCCAAATTCTGTTCATTTCCAATGCCTCCTTTTCCACAATGATATCTTGTTCCAATTTTTCGTTGGACAGCCTCAGATCCTGGTAGGGATGGTAGAGGAGATCCAACCAATGATTGTGTGTGTGTCGATGAGTGTGGAGTGATGGCTGTTTCACCTGAATGAAACCACTAGGGATGGGTTGAGGCGAAATGTACAATACAGATTTGGGGATCATTGGTTGGTAAAAGCTGTTAGCTGGAGATGCTAATGAAGGATTTGTGGCCGAGAAAGGACAGAAACTGGAATTAAGACAGTATACCTAAAAAAAATTATAGGTTGGTATGAGGGTGTTTCCTCTCTTTAGGCTCTAGACAACATGTTAAGAGGGGAGATAATAAGAGATCAATGATGGAATCCTTGTTTCTAATTACACATAGGAGGCTTTATTATATGGACATAATGTTATAAATACTAGAATAACAAAATGTCCTAATTACCAACATTACAAGAAATGGTTTATTTTCATTGTTTACATATTCCAACAGAAACAAGTAAATAAAAATACCACCTCATGTTTATGACTTATGAGCATGTATCATGTGTATTTACTTGGTGTAAGCAACTATTGACGGAATTTTGGGCAAAGTATTTTCAATTTAGGATATATTGATCACTTAACTGGTTAAAGATACAAGGATTGCTTAATGAGTAACTACTTAATATCTTAATTAACAACTAAACTGGACGATATTTACCAAGAAAACTTTTTTCTTTTGTAATTTTATCTTTTGAAATTTTAAGGGAAGTTAGGCCTGCCTAAATTCTCCAAATTTGTAAAAGTTTGTTTTAGAGCTGCTTCACAGTCTTCATCACATTACACAGTACAAATTAATTGCTGCTGTGCTAGTTTTTGAGCTTGGAATCTAGTGCCCCATTTTAGGATTTCGCATCGTTGTAAGTGATTCTTTCTTGTTACCATTAAATTGTTGATCAGGCTACAGGAAAAAAAATGTTTGCAAATCTGATGAGTGAATTATCAATGCATTTGATGTTCAGATAATTTTTTTTTTCAGGGCTCTGGGAAAACTATATTAGCAAGGACTGTGGCAAAATCCCTTGAGAATCGTGAAGACATCTTAGCACACATGTATTAATGTTAATTCTAATTTAGATGAGCCTTAATGATTGTTCCCCATTATTTTTGTATTCAGTTGCTGCTGCTTAGATTTGAAAATTTCAGTGTTCAATGCTATGCAGGATTTTTGTTTCCTGCTCAAAACTTGCCCTGGAGAAGGTCCCAATTATTCGCCAAGAACTTGCAAACCATGTAACTGAAGCTTTAAATCATGCTCCTTCGGTTGTTATCTTTGATGATCTTGATAGCATAATTTCTAACCCCGACTCTGAAGGACCTCAGCCTTCAATGTCTGTCACTGGACTTGCAGATTTTCTGGTTGACATCATGGATGAATATGGGGTAAGAAGTATGCCTTTATTGTCATTTACGACGATTCTCTGAAATATTATGTATATTGTTACTCCTTGTGACAACTGCATCTCAAAATACTGATGAGAATTTTGCTTTTTAAAGTGTGGGGCCTGTTATTCATATCCAACTTTTAAAATCATCAATAGGTTAGTTCAATTAGCTTTCTGTCTTTTGATGAAAACATTCATTAATGGGAAGACTGCATAGACTTTTCCGGTGTCTACAATAATATAGTATGATAATGATAGGAATATAAAATTGAAATAATGACAGAAAAGGAGGATAATTGAGATATCAAATAAATAGATATCTTGATGGGAAATAATTGGGAGAACATAAAGGTAAAAAAAAAATGTAATCAATTTTGGATTGAAGTATATAAAATATCTGTTAGAATCCTGTAATGACTTGGTATATAGCCAAACTGGCCATACATAGGTAGAAGAGACACCAAACTGGTCAAACAAAGGCTGAAAATAAACCAAATAGGCAAAAGAAATGAAATCACAAGACAGACAAGGAGTTAGAAGTAAAAAATGTAGAAAGGGAAGGAAAATTGGTTCTGGTCTTGAACCATCCAGCTGGTGCACAGACAAGAAAAGGGTGAAACTCATTTGAGAGGATGTTGAACTATGCAATACCAAAATGAATAGGGGGAAAAGGAAGGTCATTAAACTCAACAAAGATTGGCCTTTTGTGTTGCCATCAAGGTTTACTCCCTTCTCTAGTGCCAGTCACCTTAAGGCTCCTCTAACCATTTGCAACCTTCAAGAAGGCTGAAATTAGAATTTCCAAAACACAGTGCAAACACCAATGTAGTGTGAAAAAAAGAGTGCTTCTACAGCCACCACTGACCACCACGGGCTACACAAGACATCTTCCCATCGTTTGCTGACCTTACCAACTAACCATCATTGGATTGTCTGAACAGATGAACTGCTGCTAAGTAGGAGTCCCTGAGTTTTGGACATGATCGTAGGTCACTACCAATGAATTCTGACTTTAAAAGGGAAAAGATAAAAATAGAGAGAGCAATGATTATACAAATGTTATGTGGAGCTTATAGGATTTAGGGTGTGGCATAACACAATGCCTCAGGTCCCTAACCTAATTCTCCAATTTATTCTAGTAATTGGGACAAGTACGAGTGCTAGCTGTACAGGCACCCACTCAAATAAGACTTTAGAAACCCTAAATGTATTGTAAAAATATTAAACCATTCATTAGCCTTCAAGTAATAGCTGAAGTTTATGGGATAGTTAGGCTTTGCTGATAAAAGATACAACCCAAGCTTTATCAAACTTGTATCTCCCTTCACAGCAAGTGTCAAGGAAGAGTTTATGCTGCTTTACATTATACAAGACTTCAAAATAAATTTGTCTTCTTGGTATCGTTATGATGTTATGCTAATTGATTTTTTACATGGGGCTATCTTTGTCAATGTGCAACAAGACTTCCTGGCTTTGCTTTCTCAATGTGTTCTGCCCTTTTTTTCCTCCCATTTCTTGTTTCCTCTTGAAGGCATACATTGCCATCTGCTTTTGTATTGCCTTCTCTTATTTTCTCAAAATATTTCAAAAATGGTTTTCAACCAAAAACTTCTTAAGAGTCAAGACATTTTAGCAAAATTTAGAAAGTTATTTTAATTGATAAATGTTGTCTTTTTGAGGGCTAATGAGTAATTGAAACACGTAAGAAATTTGCAAAAGGTTTAATATATGAGATCTTCACTTTGTCACATAATCATTTCTGTACATTTTTCTTTCCTAACTACCATTATGAATTTATTGCCTTGGTCACACAATGAACAGGAGAAGAGGCGAAGATCATGTGGATTTGGACCAACAGCCTTCATAGCTTGCATACAATCCCTAGAGAAGATACCACAATCTTTGAGTTCTTCAGGTTCGCTAATTTTGTATTTAATATTATGTTATAGTAAAATCTAAATCGAATCTTCACTATGATTATCTTTCATTCTTTTTTATACATTTTATTTCTCATGTTTTGGCTACTAATTTCTTGATTCAATTGTCATTAGGACGTTTTGACTTTCACATAAAGCTGCCTGCTCCTGCAGCTTCTGAGCGCAGGGCTATGTTGAAGAATGAAATACAAAGGCGTCACTTGCAGTGCAATGATGACATCCTGCTTGATGTGGCTGTAAAATGTGATGGTTATGATGGTTATGATCTGGTATTTCACTTCTTTTAGATTTATTGTTTAGACAGTTGTGATTTAGGTTAAAATATACATTTAGTCCCTATAGTTGACATTCATTTATGAATAGTTCCTATACCTAAAAATCTTACGTTTTAATCCATGGTATTATGACATTGTTAATGAAAATTATAATTCACTGAGTTGTATTTTTTTAACAATATTATAATGGTAGGGACCAAAATGCAATGAAATATTTGTATAATGATTAAAATGTAAGTTTTTTTTTTTTTTTGTAAGAACTAATTTGTGAATGAGTGTCAACTATAGAGACCAAATGTGTATTTTAATTTGTGATTTATTATGCTTTATTAGTTAGCACTAATGAAATAGTGTCTTGTGTGACCAATAACTTCAAAGATATGAGTCTCCAATCCTTTTAATATCTACTATATTCTTTTTCCAAGTGTTATCCACAATGATACTTATTCTGTTTCAAAGAAGTGTAACATTACTTGAGCGTAGCTTGAAAAGCTTCAAAGATGGTCTTGTTTCCATCCAACTTAATTATTATTTCACTGGCATCATTTGCAATTTTTATATGAACTATCACTTGCTTTGTTAAAAGTTTCATTGTCCATTTGAATACTATCAATGCACAAACTGTTGATAACTGTCTAAACTACATGTATGCAAACACCTAACATTTTCACTCTCTCCAGGAAATATTGGTTGACAGAACTGTCCATGCTGCTGTCCGCCGTTTTTTGCCATCTAATGTGGCCATTTATGGGCAAGAGAGTCCTGCTTTACTAAGGGAGGATTTCTCTCTGGCAATGCATGATTTTCTTCCAGTTGCAATGCGTGATATCACAAAATATGCTTCTGATGATGGCCGTTCAGGATGGGATGATGTGGGTGGTCTTGTAGATATTCAAAATGCTATCAAGGAGGTCTGAATTCCTGAAATACTAAAATGCTGTTATGCTCTCACTTTATTTTATGTGTCCTGTTTTGTTCTTATAGATTTTAAGTAATATTATTTCATTTGTAAGAACCAACTCTTATAAATGCTTGAGCTAGGTGGAGGGTCAATAATGGGTTTTATTTGGAATAAGGTTTCATGCTCTGACTTGTATAATATGAATAGTTTATGCTAGGAATTGTGTCCACACACTTCTTACATTGTTCTGCTGCGGTTTCTTTATACTCTGCAACTATTCATTCCTATGGGCCTATTTGGTGGATATGATAGAATAAGAAATGATAGGATACAAGAGTTGGAGAAAAACATGTTAGGACAAAAGTATGATAAGTTCTCATCCATTTTACATTCGATGAACATTGGGATAACAAACTAGATAGAAATATGTTATCCTTTCCTGTCAATTTCTAACCTAGGCCCCTTTCATAGGATAAAATTTACACTAGAGAGATGGATACAATAAGCCTATAGGATAGACTTATCATATCCTGTTGGTTAAACAAACATTGGAAATAAGACAGAATAGAAAAAATTATCCTATCTTGTTCTTGTATCCTGTCCACCAAACAAGTTCTGTAAGTCCACGGTTTCTTTATGTATTTCCTTATCCTCTAAAGCATTTGTAATCTGTTCTATTTGTTGTAATTGATTTCTTCTGTGTCAAGAATTTGGGAGTGAAGATGTGGATATACTGGATTTTAGGGTTCTAAGAAGTAAGATCAAGGAAAAGACTGAAGAGTATTGACAATTTTATTGATCACTTTAGAAAGAATTAGGATTACAAGAATCCCCCAGAGCTGTCAACTCCTGAACAGAGAATGACTTCTCCCTAACACCATTTACAAAAAAAATATATCGCTAAAACCAGAATCTAACTCTATTTATAGGATCTATTAATCATATTAACAACTAACTAACAGTTGACTCTTTCCTACCCTTCCTCCTAACATAAACATTCCACACTTTAGGTCTCTTATTAGTATCAATCATATGTTCTTCTGCCATGATTCTAACATGGATAATCTAGAAAGATAGGTAAAATAGTAGGGAAAGCTGAATTATCTGAGTGTGACGTGGACAGATCTTGCTTTCTGGTTGAGTGTAGTCAGTCAGTTCATGTGATCTCCTAGAACTTCTCAATGGGATGTTGTCAGTTACAGTGATTCTTTATTATAGTTAGTTGAACAATAATTTCATTCTTTTTGCTTTTTGTTTCCATGTTTACTCTATGCTTGTACTTTTGCATGATTTTATGCTGGTTAAATTAATCCAGATGATAGAGTTGCCATCAAAGTTTCCAGAAACTTTTGCACAAGCACCTTTGAGGTTACGGTCAAATGTCCTTTTATATGGTCCTCCTGGTTGTGGCAAGACTCACATAGTTGGTGCTGCTGCTGCTGCTTCTTCGCTTCGATTCATATCAGTTAAAGGGCCAGAGCTGTTAAACAAGTACATTGGTGCTTCTGAACAAGCTGTAAGAGGACAATAAGATTTTCTTTTGGCTATTATTGGTGTATGCTGTTTTTTAATTTATTTTTATGTTTTTTAATCCGTATATTTTTCTCTGCATAAAATAAAAGGTTTTTTAGGTTATTAGTTGACTCAAACTAGCCTTTTGTACTGTCACTCCTTTAGCGATTTGATCTTGAATGTCTTTTAGGTGACCTAGGCTGTTTCTTTTGGTTTGATGTGTACTAGAGTTAATCTTTCAGATTTTTTTATTCTGCTTAGAGGCCTGAATCTTGAATGCTGGTTCCAGGTTAGGGATATATTCTCTAAAGCAGCTGCTGCAGCTCCATGCCTACTTTTTTTTGATGAATTTGATTCTATTGCCCCCAAGAGGGGGCATGACAATACTGGAGTAACTGATCGTGTTGTTAATCAAGTCAGTATATATTTGTCACTTTTTGCATTTATACTTTGTTGAATAAAATCTGACTTCAGTACATTCTACTTCCACAGTTTCTGACTGAGTTAGATGGTGTTGAAATTTTAACTGGTGTGTTTGTGTTTGCTGCAACCAGGTTAGTTTCTCAAGCATGTATTTTTTGTAAATAATAAAATTCAAATGAAGTGTCCGAAGATAAAAGACTAAAAGCTGAAAGGATGAAAGAGTTAAAAGAAGGCTATAGCTATAGTTTCAAACTTGATTTGCTTCTGGTTTGCACTTAATCTAGATTAGTTAGTTACAAGTGGCAATTTCTGATACATTCCTTAATCACAACTCCGAATCTACAATCTGAGTGATATAAGCAGGTTGAATTTGAGTTGAAGATTGCAGCTTGAAATCAATCCATTTATTTAATTAAATATAAGCAAGTGATCTCATAGTTGGTATCCTATTTAACTTTGATTCATTTGGAACTTACATTTAAAGACCATTCTACTAGCTAAACTAAATAATTCAACACATAATTCTACACCGTTGTTGTTACCTTGAAGTTTGTTTCATTTGAGAATTTGGTAATTCTAAACTGCTGATGAAAAAATATGGTCATTAACACTGCACGTTACATTATAAAAAATGCAGAGAGTACTTCACAAGGACACAATCTAAATTGGGTGTTTTTGGATTATCTGCAACAAAAAAAGATTAGTTCAATAATTGATTTATCTACAATTGATTATTGTTATAATCAATTGTATGAAATAAGTTTTATGTTTGAAGTGCAAAGGGAAAAAAGTCATGGAGAATTCATTGCCAGCCTGACTAATCAGTGAGTTAGGAGATATCACTATTGGTATGAATCAGAATGCGAGGTTAGTGTGAGTGACAGGCAGTTCATCACTGTATGACTCATTGATAAGAAAGAAATCACTGGAATGATCATTATGGATAGAGAACAGCATAACATTGAGGGGTTTGGGCAAGTGACAATGTACCAGAGCATGGAATGCAAGTAAAGGAGGTTCAGTTTTAATTTAAGGAAAGTACCAATCTACAGGGGGCAAAGTTGGTGATAGGGTTTCTGGATGGAAAGCTTGTCAGAGAAGTTGTCAAATAGCGGTACACGACAAAGAAGATGCTGCCAATAGGACAACACAACAAAAGGACAACCTGATCTAAGACTTTGAATAACAGGACAATGATGAATATTCCAAAAACGAGTTTGAAATGAAGTAGTTCCAAATTTTAGGAAAATTGAGAGCAGAACAGTGACATATGGTTGAAACTATAGGGTTTTAGGTATAAGGGAGGTAAAGGAGAGAATCTCTAGATGAAAAAATCTGAAATTGATATTTGATGCGATTAGATATGATGTGTTGGATGTGATCCAAAAGACAAAGAACTAACTTCTATTTATAATTGGACTAGGATCTTAATCCTGATTACTCCTTTTGATCCTTTGTATAAGGAACCATCTGGAAGGTTTTGGTAATTCATATTATCAGTCATTTTACAATTCCTATGAAACATTTATTTTTGTTTTCCTATATGCCTTTAGTAAATGAAGTTGGTGAGAATCATAAATTAAAACGATAGAGGGAAGGAGTAAATCTTTCAAATTTTAAATATTGATAGTGAGGCTAAGTTTAATGATACTAAATGGGGGTAAAGTGGGCATGTTGTAGTAGTTTTTAAAAAATCCAGAAAATTAACTAACTTCGACTATTTTATATTGGTCTATGCAGTTTAATTGAAGATGCCTTATGAAAAGGACTAGAGGGAGTAAATAATAAAATGAATAATAAATTATAAGGGAATATGGAAACCAATCCTAAGGTTTCACTTAAGATATTCTAAAATATTTGGAAAAATGTCTGGGCTGTGATAAGGTTGATCCTTGTTTGTTCTGAATATATTTTCAGATATTATGAACAAATGGGAAACGGATATTATTCTGACATCTGTTTTTCATGTCAAGCAGTAGACCAGATTTGCTTGATGCAGCGCTGTTGAGACCTGGTAGGTTAGATCGTCTTCTGTTCTGTGACTTTCCATCTTGGCATGAGAGATTGGAAATTCTAACAGTACTTTCTAGAAAGGTTAGCATTATGGTCCATGTTTTGTTTCTTGTCAGCAAACTGCTCATAATATCTTGTTGGGATTTTTACATGAAGTGAATGTTTTGGATTCAAATCTTTTACTTGTCATATATTTTGCAATGGAATCAGAGCTATATCTATGTAAGCAAGAGACAACATCAGAAGAATGTCATGCTACTAATTTGGTAGAACCCCCAAGAATCAATAACAAGGTGGTCAAAATTGGGATTTTACCTTGAATTGTAAAGGGAAGTGAAAACCGTAAATTGAACCATTAGATTTTACAAAATTCATATATATATGCATATAAAGTAACAATGATTTGGCATCAGTGATTTATCAAACATCTTTTCTCAATTTAATTAAAACAAGTCTTTCTAATTAATGCAGCTACCCATGGCCAATGATATTGATTTGGCTACAATAGCTAATATTACTGAGGGATTTAGTGGAGCTGATCTCCAAGCTCTCCTCTCAGATGCACAGCTTGCAGCAGTTCATGATGTTCTAGACAATGTGGATGCCTCTAGGCCAGATAAAACACCAGTTATTACTGATGCTCTTCTGAAGTTCACAGCATCCAAGGCTAGACCATCTGTTTCAGAAGAAGAGAAGAGAAGACTCTACAGTATATATCGTCAGTTCCTGGATTCAAAGAGATCCGTTGCTGCCCAGGTTTTTCCCTTTCCCTGCCTCCTTTTCTTCCCCTTATTCTCTGTGTTTCTGTTGAGTATGTTGAGAGGTTATATTTAGTAACATATATAGACAGAGGCAGGCCAATTGTTAATTGGTCCGGGGGCAAAATTTGCAGTCTACTTCAACTGATTTCATATACGTCAGAAGTGGTGAATGGTGATGCTACTCTAGTGAATTAAAAAGTTTTGTTTTTACTATTACATGTATTCAGTGTTTGACTGAATCTTTTTCATACCATGTTTAGGGATGTGACTAGGAACTTTTTGCTCGAGTATTGGGTAAATTGACATCCATGTGCTTCATATTAAAAGTGTAAAAAACTAGCTCTGTTAATTGACAACTTAAGCATCTTTAGATAATATTTCAAAGAGCCTTCATAGCGTTTCAAGCTTTCCCATTAGTCCAAAAAATAACTAAAATCATCATTTTACGTGCAAAATATATGAAATGCTGTAATATTTAGACTTGTTTAGACCCTCATTAATTTTAAAATCTCTATATCTGTCTCACATTATCTTGAGTGACTGAGGATGTGTTAGAACTGGATCAAAACAAAGGAAATAATAGAGAAAATAGATGAAGAAAAGAGACAATATGTGTATTATTCTCTAGTACAACTTAGGTTATTCAAGAGATTTTGTTTTCTCCCAATGCCTAAAGGCCCTAATTCTCAGGTTGTGTTTGGATTAGATATTTTCAATTCCTACAATTTATGTATTTGGATAGTAAGAAAAAATAATTTTAAAATGCCAGAATTTTAACTAGATAATTTTATGTCAAATAGATAGAATTTTAAATGACTTGTTTCGAGATAAAATTTAAAATTCTCTCTATTATGTTTAACTTTTTATATTTATCATTCATAACTCTTCTCATACTTCACTCCCATTTTAAGAATTCTCTCTATTATGCTTAAGTTTTTATATTTATCATTCATAACTCCTCTCATGCTTCACTCCCATTTTAAGCATCCCTCATTATTGCTTTTATATTTTCTAGAATTTTAAAATCCTTTATCCAAACACAACCTTATTTCTTTTACAATCTTAGCCTGCCTAGCTACTAACTACTAATGAGTCCTTAATCAACATATTATAACTAATTACAAATGAGAGTTTCCTAACAGAATGTGACTTTAATGGTGAAAGGAGATGAAAGAGGCTCTTTTGTGATATTTACCTGAACTTTCTGTTAATGTACTTCCTTTTATTTAATTTCTCAAAGCACACTTCTATTTATTTTAGCTTTGTACCGAGAAAAAACTCTTGAACCACAATAGATGACTAAGTTTGATTCAGATTTTAGCCGGTTTTCTTTTATGTAAATGCTGATGATATGGGCAAGTGTTCTATTTCCCTGATTAAATTCGGTAAATAATAACTATCATGGGATATCTTCATGTTTTACTTTATCTTTTCCTCCGCTACCAAAAAAATAAATAAATTCTAGCTCAATCACTGTATTTTAGTTATGCTTTTTTTCTTATTTAGTTCACTAATAATTGTTGCAGTCAAGGGATGCAAAAGGCAAGAGGGCAACTCTAGCTTGACAGTAAAGTACTACTGTGCAATTTGTTCATGTTGTAGAAGCGGCTCTTTGGTATTCCTTTCTCCCGAAGATGTTTTTGGTGTTAATTTGCATTTCCTTGATAGTAAATTTGTACAGGAGTCGATGGTAGTTCAGTTCATCATTTTTTTATAAGAAAAATCATCATTTGTTGTATTTGATAATGTAAATTCTCCCAGCAATGTTTCGAATAGAATAAGAAAAAGAAAAATGTATTTGCAAGTTTTTTTTTTTTTTTTACACTCACCAAACACCCTTCCCATGCGCACAGGAAAAAAAAATTACCACGTTAGAATTTTATTTAATTTTAAAATGTGTTTTTTAAACCCGTAGAATGCGTTAAAGAAATAACTTTACACTTGAGAGTAATTAATCAAATTTTTTAACCTTATACTCCATTCGGTTTTATTTTTTAAAAAACAATTATCATTATATCTAAAATATAAAAAATAGAAATTCAATTTTAGATGCATTAATTGTTACTCTTTCTATATTCTTATTTATTGTGATATTCTTTGGAATAATAATAAAGAAAAAGGGTTATTCTCTCTCCCCCTTAAAAAAAAGAAAGATGCAGTAAAGTATAAATAAAATCAATATATAATTTAATGTAATAGTAAAATAGAAAAGATTACCATAAAACTGTAACAAAAAACTAGGAAAGAGATCTATCTAAAAGATCCTTTTTCTAATTTAAAAAAAATACTTTGTTTGACCTATTTAGATTTTCTTTTAATGAATACTTTTTTTTTGTATTGTTATATTTTATTTTGTTCATTTCATTTTTTATTATTAATAATGTTTTCATTATGTATTTATTCATTTTATGTATGAATTATTAATTTAATAATTTATTATCATGAGTATTTTTAGAATATATTATAAATATATAACATTTTATTGGTTTTGAAGAATTTATTATTTGTTCTTTTTAAAAAAAATAATCGAATGGTTAGATAACTATGTAAGGGAATAACTAACTTTATACCAATGTTTACAAAATTTTAAAATAAAATAAATTAATACACTTTATTCAATATGATAATATTAAAAATGAATTTTGAAATATAAAAAAGGCATCATATTTTCACATATATGGTAAGTATAAAATTAATTAATTGAACAATCAATTATATTTAACTCAGTTAATTAAATAAATATGTATAAGTGAAAATTAGAATGCAGGTTAATAAATTATTAAAGTTTAAATGGTTTTGTTCTTATACTTGACTTATATTTAAAAGTTAATCTTAACTAGTAAAAAAATTTATATTAGTTTTAATACATACATATATTCATTTTTTATTTAGTTTATGTTGTTACGTCTAAATTAAATAATATTTACTTTTTTTCTATTTGGCGTTAATGGATCTTAAATGAGTGTTTATGTATAATTTTTTGAGGGATCATTCATCTTCTTCTTCCATTAATCTTTTCTTGCAAGAAACAACCCATAGTTAGTGGTAATCTTCCTAAAAGCATCACCAATATGTTAAAGTTGAGAACAAAAACAACATCGGTTAACGATAATAAAAATGTATCGATAACTTCTTCCAATGCATGAGAAAAACCCAAACATCAAAAATCCTATTGATAATATGTGGTGCATGATTTTATAGCTTGAAATATTAGAACATATACATTCAACTAGTTTAATATTGTTTTTTTGTGTTAACATTTGCTATGGTAATGCCATAAATTATAAGGTTATTGTTGTTTAGTGGTAATCTTATTGCAAGCTGGAATTCATCTTGAGGAAAAGTTGGTTAAGGTGTATGATGGTGAAGGAGCAATGAAAATAGCTGAAACTACTATGAGTATTATTGCTTAAGAAGTGGAAGTTTATATTGTGAATTCAGGCAACAAGATTCATGGTGTTCAATTGACTCTAGATGAAAAAGAATAAAAGAATGTAACAATAGTATCATATAGAAGAAATGTTTGCTATTATGCTTATACATTATTATAAAATTGAAATTGAAGATTTGAGAAAATTCGGAGAAAGTATGAAGAGAAATTTTTATTATTGAATTCTAAAGAAATGAAAAATAAAAACTACAATGGTGAGAAGCTGTTATGAGCAACATCTATAATAAAATCAAACTAATTTTTGTTTTAGAATTTAAGTAACAAAAAACAAACTTACAAGTTGTTAAACAACTTTAAATACACAGAAACTATACAAAACTAATAAATACATAAAGAATAAAAAAGTAGTTTTATTTTTTTTCCTAATATATTTTATTGTATGTAGACATGTTGTAGCTATATATGTAAATAATTGTGATTTCTAATACTTTGTTGATAGATGTTATCACATTGATACTTTTGCCAAATGTTATGAACATATGAACCTAATTATTGGTGAAGAAATATAGCCACCTATTGAATTACTTACACTTGCATCATCACAAGTGAAAACACCTACATGAACGCTTAAAATGTTAAGGAGGAAGAAGAAAGATGAAACTCTAAAATCTTATAAAAGGCAAAACACATCCATCACTTTTGCCAAATGTTATTACATCCAACACTTGCTAGATCTATACCAGTTACAACTTTAACAAAGACTGCATAACAAACCATGGCTATTTAATATGACAACAACTAACAGCTAAACAAATACTCAATAAGAAGTGTGATTCATCCACAAAAGAGGGAAGTAGTTTTGATTCCTGTTTTATTAAAGGTCAAAAATGATGAATAAGAGTTCATAACCGCACATCAAAATTCAAATTTAAAGATATAGTTTTGTAAAAGACATAAGAGGAAGACAAGAAAATGGATATTTTTCACAAATTAAAATAACAAAACACATTCAATTGAAAGAAAAATAAATAGTTTCAATTATTTAATGGACTTAGACTGTAAAAATGAGACATTTGATTCACACTAATTTATCATGCTAAGACATCCTTTTTTAAAAAAAGTACTTTTTATAATTAAATAAAATTTTATTGTAGTAATTTTTTTTCTTGTTCAATGGGTGAAGAATGTTTGATTTTGACATGTAAACATTTCATTATTCTTTTTTTTTTCTAACTTTTATTTTTATTATGTGAAATTATAAAGCTCAATAAATAACAATGTTTAAAATAAGTCATTATACTTTCAATATAAATAGCATTTTTTTGATATATAACTCAAATACATGTTTTATCAACATATTATCTACTCTCTTTAAAAATTTGAAAGAATGATAAATAAAATTATTCTTTTTTTTAGATATTAAAACTAAGCGTTCAAGAAAAAGTAAAACAAAACAAATATTTAACCAAGCAGAATATTATTATTTCAGTTTACTCAAACATAAAATATTTTTGTGTATTTTTTATTCTCTTAATTTTTTTTTTCTATTTCATCTCTCTTCCAAACAACTTAAAACAAATTTTGAACTTACTAATATTTTTAACTGGATGGAGAATTGCTAACCTGTACATAAAATATAATAGAAGTGAATATAATATTTTCTCACTCCTACCAAAATCTACCCAAAATAAAATTTTAATTATTACCGTTTTTTATTGGACAGATAACCAAATTTATCTTTTTTTTTTACAGAAAATATAATGGAGTTGAATAAAACAGTATATAATATATTTGATAATTATTAATAGAACAAGACCGTATGATTTTTTTGTGTTTGGCATTTATTGAGTAAAATATTATCTTTAATTATACGTATATGCTAATCTTGTGTATTGTTTGGTCAAGTATTGAAAAATAGTATTTTGCTTTAAAAATTAGTAGCATTTAAGTATGTAAGATGATTCAAAATCACATTACTAATATATATTTTTTGAAAATATTAAGTACCTATTTGGTTTAGTCCTAGAATAAAGTTGGATAGTATTAATTTTTGAAAAAGACGAGAGAATTTGCATTGGCAAATTATCAGAATTGGTATTTTAACAATAAAGCAAATGGAATCTAAATATATGATAAAATATAATGGAGAATGAAAAATATTTATGAAAGATTGAGCACTTAATTACTTGTATAAGAATTTGATTTGGAGTGATTAGTGACAAACAAAGGTTGATGATGATTAAGCTCTCAAAGTAGTATGTTTAATGTATAAAATCTAAAACTACCCTTCAAATCATGCAATCTGAGTGGAGGAACAAAAAGATAAAAATAAAACTAAAATACAAATAAAACAAAACACGAACACAGGAGAATAAAGAAAGTTGTGGGGGAGCTAAGAAGAGATTGTCCAACTTGGGGTTCTTGCAACCTGCGAGAAAGAGAGAAAGAGAGAAAGAGAGAGAGAGAGAGATAGAAGCGAAGGCAACAAAGCTTTCATTCGATTCTGAGAAGACGAGGGTCGAGGGTCGAGGGTTCTCCACCTGTTCCCTTTCGTATCCGTAAGTCGCTCTGGTTTTGTTCGTTTCTTCATTACTCTTTTTTGTTTGATGCGTTTCATCGATCTATCACTTTCCCTATTTTCTCTTCAATTGACTCTTTTTTCCTTCATCATTCCCTTCCAAATTTCGCTCTTTTCAATCAATTTATTGAAACCCTTTCGGAATGCCTTCCAATTTCTGTGCCGCTCCTATGTTTATGGTTCTGCTCGTTTTTCGACTCTAGTTCCGCGTTTGAAACCGATTGAATCGACAATTTTTTATTTTATTTTTTATGTTATATGGGTAATTGAATAGGTGGTATAGATGATTGTTGAGTTTTTTTTTCTTGTTTGTGCAATCTCTTTGGATTTGAGAAGCAGATTAGGGTTCACTCGTAAAAAATGAACTGGTTGGAAGCACAAAGGGAATTAAAGATTTTGTGTTAAGTTTTCTTCTCTCTTATTCTCTCATCGTTTTCTATGTTGGAATTTAATAGAAGGTGGCGTTCTTTTCTCTTTTGTTAGATAAAGAAAAAACCTTGGTGCTACCTGATTGTAATTTGTATGTTTGAGTGTTAGTAGCTAGCATCTTTGCATCTTCTCAATCTGTTCCTGGACTTGCCTTTGGGTTTGTTCAGTAGGATACATGGAAGTTGAGAACTCCTTTGCGATGGCTGCAGAGTGAACAGTGGGGGTGTAGAAGCGAAGATACTACCTAAGAACACTTGTGTGGGAGAGATTGGGGGAGAATTGAAAGTGTTTACCGAGGCGTCTTTGGGAGATACATATAGGCTAGAGGTTGCGTGTGGATGGTGTTGGATAAGGCCTTGGTGGGGTAGGAGATCATGGAATTGTGGGATGCTCATTCCCTGTGATCCCTAAAAGTATGCTGCAAGAACAGGGGAGATGTGGGGACTTGTCCATAACCAGTTTGGCGTGATCTGGAGGGACCCAGTTGGGTGCCAAACGGGTGGGATAATTTAACCTGGTCTGCTCCTGTTGTTGGGCTGGGACCTTATAACTGGCCAGGAACAGGGTCTAAGAGAAAAGTTATGATCTTATGGCTTTAATTTGTCATTCATAGTAATATATTTTTGAGAGGGAGTATCTGTAGTGATTTGGATTGGAGAACTGATAGCGTTCTCTCTTTCGCTCTCTTATTTAAGTTATTATAATCTCTTCTGTATTGTTAATTTGTTATTAATATATTAATATTGTATGGTTTATGCTCTATCTTTGTGAAATTTCATGTACTACTGTAGATGTTTCAAACCAATGAAAAATTACATGCATAATACAAGTGACGTACTGGAATCTGATCTTGCATTTTTATATAAAAGAAGCTATATTTTTTCGTTCACCATATACATTTCATAAGCAGAAGTTTGATTTTACTGCCCACTCTCCATACGGAGAGAAATTCCTTCTTGAAACATTATGTTTCAAAATTCTGATCAAAAGTGGTTGGACTGTGAATGATTTGCTCATCCTAGTACTTTTGCTCCATTTAGGAGTGAGAAACCTTGATACGCTTGTGCGTATATATGATATGAATGTTTGTACCTGAAGCTGAGTTGCACATGCTGATAAAGTGATATGTAGCATCAGCTGTTAATGCCTGTGTGTAATGAGATGCTATTCAAGCCTCCTGCTATGTGAATTGGTTGCATGGCTGGGCATGACTGAAAGTGGCTGTGGGACTGGGCTTTTCTTTTTCATTATGCCACGTTATTGGTTGGTCTCTTGGCCTATGGTTGATTGAACTGCTTTTTATTACCTGCTGTTATGAATTGTAGATATAGAAACTCTGGCCTTTCTAAAAGTAGGGTTATACCAGTTGGCATGGAGCTGTAGAACAGTATACCCAGATCTAATTATCAAGCTGTGTGAAGTTCCAATTTGCCTTCAAATCTGAGAAAGTGAAAAGCTCATTTCCATTTTTCAGTTGACTAGAGTAAAAAACTTTCCAGTTATTCTTTTACAGAGATGTGATTTACATCCATGGATCTTTTGTACTTGGTTGGAAAACATGTATAAAATCTGAGTAAAACACTATATTAGTCACTGAAAGATATGCTAGTTATTTTGAATCTCCATATCAATCCCTTCATCAAGTCTAGTTCACACTTACATCATTCACCTTCATTATTTGGGTGGAGTGACTCAGAATGTTGGAACATTGAACTTTGAGGGATCAAGTTGATTTGATTACAGGTATATAAAATAATCTGTTTTGCCTGTTTGGTTCAATAGGGTATTGTATCTTTACAGTGATGATCTATTGATTTTCTCAATGGCTTGTCATGGAATGGATCTTAACTTATGTGGAGTGTCATTTTTCAAAACTAGTAGTCGATTCTAGATAGTGGTGCAGAGCGGCCAACCTCAAACGCTATAGGGATGACTGCTATTCTGAAATTTTAATACACACATATACATGCTGAAAAATGCAAAATTAATACCCAAATTTGGAACAAAACAAAAAAGGAAAACTCAAATCAGAGAAGGAAATAAATAACAAACAGCGAAAGGTGTAGCAGCAGCCATTGCCTCTACTTGAAGCTTTGAAATTTGAATGAACAGAGCAGGAGAATCAAAACAGAGAAGGAAATAAAAAAACGGAGAAGAAAATAAAATGTTCAGTCACTGAAAAATGTGCAAGTTTGTTGGAGATGTAGAAGATGACTGGAGAACATCCCTATCGTGTCAGAAGCTTTGCAGGAGATGAAGGCCACTGGAAGCAGTGGAAACATAGAGAACAAAGATGAAATGAGAGGGAGAGAGGAGAGCTGAGAGATGAAATGAGAGGAGAAATGAGATGGAGAGAGGAGAGCTGAGAGATGAAATGAGAAGCTAGGGCTCGTAGAAGAACGAGGGAGGGAGAAGATCAGAAAATGGGGGGGGCAAAATCTCAAGATTTTCCCCCTTAAAAGTCGTCCAATGTTAAAAAACAAAGGGCAAGTTTGGAATTTCAGAAAGGATAGAATAGATGCCGTGACAGCTGTGATTTTTGCCATTTTTGGCCGCTATTCGTGACAGCCACTCCTCTAGCCTGCGATGCTATTATTGGGTTTCCATAGTGGCACTGCGCTGCTCCACTCTGCCATGGCCACTATTGACTACTATCAAAACAACTTATGTTAGAGATAGAAAATAGGGGGTACAACTTGGCTTGGGAGGGTAATAAATCCAGCAGAAAAAGAAGGAAGTCTGTGTGAAACACGGAATTTATTTCTGCATTTATTGTCTTTGTTGCACTATTTATAGTAAGTTCCTGTTTAGTGTCAAACTTGTATCAAGCTACACTAGATCAGCTCTTGAGATTTTAATGTTACTGCATCAAAGAATGTCGTTTTTTTTAAATTAGTTCCTATCTAAAATTTATTCATTTTTATTCCTTATAAATTATAAACACATGTATTTACAGTCCCTTGAGAGTGACCAAAAACATTGTTTTTGTTAAATGTAGGGCCCAAGAGACTAAAACTTAAAAATGCTATATTTTCTGGGATAAAAAGCATAATTAAGCTGTAAAAATCAAAGCATTTGTTATCTGATAAGATTGTATTGTGTAGTTATTAGTCAGTTATTGCACATGCTTAATATGCTTATGTGTGAGTTACAAGTTAGGATTCTGTTATAGAAAAGAATCAGTTGGAGCTGTCTGTGACAATTATAACAGAACTGAAATTTTTTTAACTGGCACACAGCTACCACTCCACTATAAATCATGATGGTCCCTGTATTCAGAGAAGATGAGAACATCAGAATATACAGTTTAGATTATGCTTCAGATCTTTACCCCACTCTATTTTCTTTCATTTTCCTACATTCTCTTCCATAGCAAGATTTATCATGGGTTACAATTCTTTAACTATATTGAAGATTTTAGGTACATGATATTCTTTTCTTATATCTCTTCCAGAATCTTTCTGCTACATGATGTTGAACAAGTGATAAAGAATTTATTCGGTGCACAGCAAAGCTGGTATATATGGCTGGACTTATGCCTGGAGAGTTGGCACATCATGGAGCTTCTGATGGTAACTCTGGTAAAAGTCCTAGAGACAAGCTAGAGGAAGCATTAGGTCGCTGGTATATGTCCAGAAAAGAAATAGAGGAAAATTCCCCATCAAGAAAAGATGGTATTGACTTGAAGAAAGAGACATATCTGCGCAAGTCATACTGCACCTTCTTACAGGATTTAGGCATGAGACTTAAAGTGTGAGTTGGCTACTTCTGGTTTTATAAATATTTAATTATTACTTTCTGGGGTCACATACTTGCTATGTGTTAGGGATTGTCTGAAAGTTTCTAAAGGATTGCATGCTTCGTTGTGCTGTTTTAGACTGTCTCTCTTTCTTTTTCACTTTTCTTTTCTTTCAAATTTCTTAATAGTAATGTTTTATGTGAAACCTTTCCTAGATTATACAGCTGTGTATCTACATGATACACCCCACCGATGCAATCGTGTATTGCATGGTTAAAGAAACCATTATGATCATATGCTTGCTTAGTTCTTTCTGCTGTTTGGTTGCCTTTTTCTGTTTTACTTGCTTCTGAGATAATCTTGTATATATATATATATATATATATATATATAGTAAGCTTTTATCTCCAATCTTCAGTTTGTAAAATTGAATCTCAATTTTGGCTACTATTTTGTCTACTTCTTCATACTTGTCTCTCTCTTCAATTATAAAATATATTATTCAATTATCATACGTATGAATATAAATATAATATTACATTATAATTATAATATTAAAAATAAAATAAGAAAATTATTATTAATGATAAAATAATTAAAAATTTTACTATAATATAGAAAATATTTTATTAAATCAATAATCAAAGTATTTTATTAAATCAATAATTAAAATAGTTATGAAAGTGAGAAGGTAGCCTTTTAAATATCTATATTTCATATATAGTTAATGTATTTTATATTATAAAGTTATCTTCATGACCGTTTTAAGAATTACAGATCAAATAATTTATAAATATAATTTTGATGTATTGTCAGTAAAAAATTTTCTACACTATCAACCAATTAGAATATAATTCGTTCTATGCGTGGGAATTAAATCTAGTAATTATTTATTTGGAGTATTTTGCAAGAAAGATTGCCATTATCTATCAACTGCAGTTGATGTTTGTCACCAAATTGTAAATATTTATATCCTGGTTTTGAAATTTTATTGGAGCTTTACATATTGATTGTAATATTGTCCCCTTCAGGCCTCAAGTAACTATAGCAACAGCTATAATCTTTTGTCATCGGTTCTTTCTTCGTCAATCTCATGCAAAGAATGACCGAAGGGTGAGTTGTTACATTTTCAAATAGATATTATGTGGGCATTTTACGTCTTCAGAGCTTGAGTTTCTATTTAATTTAGTTTGATATGTTTGCGTTGCCATTGTGGATAGCTAAAAGACAAATGGAAAATATCATAATAGTATCTGGAAGATAGTCTGTTTTGTGCAGAATTATTTTTCTTAATTTAATTTTCAATGTAAGCAAATGCTTAATACTGGCCAATACTTCATGGATGGTTTTTGTCTTTAATATTGTTAGTTTCAACTTTTTAAAGCATATGCTTGATTTTGGTTTTTTACGTTAAAATAAATGAAAGTGAACTAAATTGTTCTTTCCATTGACTTGTGATATGAACACAAATTTTGTGTGTTTTCCAGAGCAAAGTCATAATGGTGAGCAATGTTATATGGCCAAGCTTTAAGAAATTTTAGTTTATTTATATGCAAACTACATTTTTGGTTATTTCAAATGATTTTGATGATAACTATTCCTGGAGAGTTCAAGTTTGTGTGTCTTATGTTTCTCTGATGTGCTATTCTCAATATTGAAATTTTGAAATTGTTTTGGGTGGAATCAGTCTAAAAAATATTCCAAAATTCCTCGAAAGTTGAAAGGTTCCCATGGGAGAAAGATAACCAGAATTACAGAAGGAATGAAATGATAGAGATGAGCAGAAAAGGAGTATTGATTGATATGGGATTGAGTCACGATTCTGGAATAAGTTCTCCAAGAGATGTCCCCTTACCACTGAGGAGAGTTCTGCTATTGTCAATCTTGACCTTTCTTCTTTCTGTCACGGGACTTGTGTCCTTTATGATTTAACATCCTACCATAGCAGAATACTGTCAACTTACTGACTCTTCTCAACAAGTCTAACTACTGAGCCTTTCCTAATTTCTGGGCCCCTTTTTCTTTCTAGAATTAATCTTCCAATTTCTATCTGTGACCCAGCAGAAGTTGTTTAAGGATTTCTATGCTTCAGAAAATGTTTAAACAGTTGAGTGTAGAATTTATTTAATTTTTCAATAGAGATTAGTAATCAAGGATTTTTATTGTTTTCCTCAGTTTCTTTTTTCTCAAGTGAGTTTTATAATTTGTAAGAAATCGGGCTTTGAACAGGTCAATCTATCCCTTTTTAATTTTAGAGGAAAGTTTTGTAATTGAAGGTGAATTGATCTTCTAGATTTGCAACTATTGTTGCTTGATATTTCTGTGAAAATTGTTTCACTTAAGTCCTGTATCTTGCATTTTATTTCAAATTCCAACTTCTACTTAATATTTTTTGTTTAATGAAGTGTCAAAATCTAATACTTCGCTTTATTATTTTGAGTCCCCCCAATTATTTGATGAAGGAGATTGAAGTTGTCCTCCAACTTTTTATTTAGAGAATGATAGATGTGGAAGAAGTTTAATAATAAGGATTACTTAATTGGAATCTGATAATTCACTTGATGAACATTTTTGCAGACCATTGCAACAGTCTGTATGTTCCTTGCTGGGAAGGTTGAAGAGACTCCTCGTCCACTGAAGGATGTTATTCTTGTTTCTTATGATATCATCCACAAGAAGGATCCTGCAGCTGCACAGAGGATAAAACAGAAGGTGTTCTATTACTGATGGTTCTTTGACAGTTCATTCCTATACATCAACATTCTGACTTCTGATTTTTCTGAAACATTATTGCTGCTGCTTTTAAATCAGGCGATTTTTTTCTCACTATCCATCTTTCTCCAATTATCTAAAATGGTCTAGTTTTATTTTTTGCTTCAAGACTGTGCCTCCCTCCCTCCAACTTGTCAGCTTCAAGCGAACACGTCATCTATCTAGGTTATAATGTCAAACATGGTAGACATGTTGTCAATATTGAAATCCTATTGTTTATATGCCTTGTACATTATGAAAAGTATCCAAATGTTTTTTATTTTATTTTATTTTTTGTTCTTAATGACTACTTAATTTGAACTGGTTATCTGGAATTTTGTAATTTTATCATTAAGCAAATGTTCTTCTCTATAGTATACTCCTTTCTATTGGATAGTTGATCTGATTCCATCCATTTTACTCCAAGTACTGTAAATTGGTAAAGTGTTTCCTTGGCACCTTTTGGACTTCCTTTTCTATTTACACTGCTCTGTATATTTTAATTCTCTTTTTGTAACCCTTGATATATTTGTATTTGTTCAATAGAAATTGTAAATGATGCAGGAAGTATATGAGCAGCAAAAAGAGTTAATTTTGCTTGGAGAGAGGGTTGTGCTTGCCACTTTAGGTTTTGACCTGAATGTTCAACATCCATATAAACCTCTTGTGGAGGCCATAAAGAAGTTCAATGTTGCAAAGAATGCCCTTGCACAAGTTGCTTGGAATTTTGTTAATGATGGGTATGATTCAGAATCAGTAGCCACTAGTTCAAATTTAACTTTGATGAATTTAGTTTTATAATATATTTGTTCACACACTGGAAAGTGGCTTTCAGGCTGAGGACATCGCTCTGCCTGCAATTTAAGCCACATCATATTGCGGCAGGTGCCATTTTCCTTGCTGCCAAGTTCTTGAAAGTGAAGCTTCCATCAGATGGTGAGAAGGTTTGGTGGCAAGAGTTTGATGTCACCCCACGCCAATTGGAGGGTTGGTGTCATCCCCTCAATTTATTGCATGCTAAGAAAATTGATCTGATTGGATTGCCTTGTGTTTGCTTTGTTTAATGCTTTATGATAATTTCTGCCGATGTTGCTAATCTGGATGTTTTATCCCTGTTTCCTGATCAAGTTGGGCATTTTCATTATAGAAAAAAACCCGGTTTAATACCAATGATGGGTGGTCCTTTTGTGTCTTAGTGCTTCTGTATATCCTTCTGAGTCCTTGTATGTATTTTCTTTTGCAGAAGTTAGCAATCAAATGTTGGAACTCTACGAGCAGAATAGAATTCCACCATCACAGGGAAGTGAAGTAGAAGGAAGTGCTGGAGGAGGACCTAGAGCTGCTACAAAGGCTCCTACTGCAAATGAGGAGCAGGCCTCAAAACAAATATCATCTCATCCAGCCCCTCAGCATTCTTCTGCAGAAAGAAATGCAGTGCCACCAAGAGGAACTGAAAACCAAAGCAATGATGGAAGTGCAGAAATGGGCAGTGACATTACTGATCACAAGATGGACTTGGAGATTAGGGAGTCTCAGAATTCAGAACAGTTGGCTCAGAAAGATAACAAGAGAGAAGTGGCAAACAGATCTAAATCTGGGAGTGAACGAATAGTTGCAGGAGACCAAGACAGAATGGTTGGGACTAAGGAGGCCACAGATGTGGGAAGGAGAGATGAACCGGCATTATACAATTCTGGCAGCAATGTTGGCCGAAATCCAGAGCGTCGGGAAGGCCCTCTAGGTCATTCACCCAAAGAAGCTATCAAGATGATTGACAAAGACAAGGTAAAGGCTGCATTGGAAAAGAGGAGAAAGGAACGAGGGGAAATGACATTAAAGAAAGATGTACTGGATGAGGATGACCTCATTGAGAGAGCCCTAGAAGATGGAGTTGAAATTCCAACTGAGAATGACAAAATTAAGCACGAGAGAAGACAGAACTGGTCTAAGCTTGATGGTGAAGATGGCAAGGACCACGAGGAAACTAGGGACGGGAGGCACATGAGCATGAAGGGGCACTTACAGAAAGACATTGATGAAGACAATGCAGAAGAAGGGGAGATGGTTGATGATGCTTCATCCTTGTTGAACAATCGCAAGAGAAAGATGGGGAGCCCTCCAGGTAGGCAACCAGAGATGAAAAAGCGGCTCGATTCCAGTTATCACAATGATCTTGCTGAATAAAGGAACTGGGAAGGGGAAGAGAGTTAGTTGCGTAGACAGGGAAACGCACAAGGAATGAGGTGGAAAATTATTGTTGAGGTGAAGATTCTGCTGTCCTTTATTTTGCTTATTGTGATTTGGCTAAAGCGGTTGCTAAAGAATTTATGATTCTGGATGCTCTTGTTTGCCTTATACATTTCTTATTTATAAGGAAAGGGATGCCTCAGTTTTGGTAGCGCCAACTAAAAGCTTATGCTTTTCTTATTTTTTGGGTGGGGGGTAGGGGAGGTTGTATGAAAACCTTATGTTATTTATTTAATTTAATACATGTGAAAATATTTACCTGAAGGTGCGTTGCCAAAAAATTCTGCAGGGCTAGTGATCTGCAGTAATCAAAATATGAATTTTATGTAACTTCTATGTTACGCCTGATCTTGGCCTTCAGTGGTGCACAAGACCAACTACCTTAACATTCATCCAGCCTGCATGAGAGAATCTTTACGAAGAGAAATCCTACTAATGCACTCAACATATTTTTTATTGTTGAATGAAATATAATTGGGTATTAAATAATGTAAGTTTTATTTCTTATTTAGTGGGATTAACATATATTTTACCCTAAAATGGTGTGTTGTTTCCTTCTCTTAACAAATTACATTGGAAGTTTAGAATTAGGTTTTCAAAATTCTGGTGGTCTTTATTTTTTTTTAAAATGAAATAAATTATTTTTTATTTATCTCAAAAAGCAGTGAGTTCAGAATTATCAAGTCTCTTGAGTTTTACGTGATAGCCTTACTAATAAATATACAAATTAAAGCCAAACACACGAGTCAAAGGGCTCAAGGCTTGCAATGTGATGGTGTCCCCAATAACAGTAGAGTATTCTAGTGTTGTGAATGCAACCACTAACATCGATGAAGCAAATTAAATTCCCAAGTAAATCTGCAAATCAGAAGTCTACGAATATAAGCGAGAGAAGTGTGCTGTTTTCTGGACGGAGGCGTAATCAACAAACTGAGAACGATGAGAAAATGACATTTATTTTATTGAACAACGTAAAATTTTCAAACATCGAACTAGACTTGGAATATGTTGACCAAAAGGAAATAGTAAATTCAACCGGTGTGTCAACCGTTTATATTTCCAAATTGTACATAAGATAGGAAATTAAGAATATTGATTATCAATGAAGTAATAAATATCCGTAACATTTGAATTTTGTGTGTGTATCTAATGACTTAGAGGAGAGGGAGAGACTAAATGTATACACACACTTTCAGAGATCAAATCAACTCATGTTATTTTTAGAGATGAAATTATATATTTATTTTGTAATATAAGATATCTTTTAATGACCTGTTTATCTAAATTTCTCAAAATTTATGAATTTTTTAAATACAAGAATTTCTATATTATTACAAATTACATCTTCGAATAATTATTTTAGTTTAATACATATTTAATTCTCTTTAAATATAATCGCAAACTTGAGTGTGTATGAAAGAAAAATCAATTACTATATTTTAAATACATAATTTTCTTTCGAATATTTGATGTCATATATATATATATATATATATAAAGATGATAATTAATTTTAATATAAAATTTAAGTTGTAAAATGACAAAATCACATAGATAAAGTCTCTGAATTATTGTCAGTGACAATTTTTTCCTAAGGTGAAGCTGTTGTGAACAATGTTAGGATTAGTTGCAGACCCCTGAAAAATCGCTAGTGACAACTTTTAATGACGTTTTTTTAGTTTCGTTACTCTGCAAAAACATGTATTGTTACTAAACTCACTGGTGACGATTTTTATGAAATACTAAACTTGATTGTGATGTTGCACAAATATGTCACATGCATATAAACAATGGCCTTATAAAAGCACTAGTTGAATGTTGAAGACCAGAAATACATATATTCTATCTTTCTTGTAAAGGATGCATAGTAACATTAGAAGATGTTGCTACGTTGCTTAGACTGCAAATCAATGGTCTACTAGTGATTGATTTTACTAATCCAAATACTTTAACATTACAAAATATGTGTGAAATCGGCCTGGATCAAATGATATTAAAGGTTACAAAATAAGATTAAAGTGGATCACGTAACACAAATTCATTCATAGAAGCATGACCACAACACATAAAATATATGTAGTCTCGTTAAATTTAAAGCAGAAAAATAACGTCACTTACTTATGCAGACAACAAGTTTATACAAGTAAGATGTCTTGAATCTTCGCAAGTAATAGGCATCAATATGCCTGCTACAATACATGTAAAATGCCTTTAGAAGTTTCCACTATCTATTGCTTCATCTTATTCTGCATTAATTAATTCATGCGATCAAAAATAATATCAACGTCATCTTGCATCACGATATGTTTGCATAAATTATCAAGAAAAAAATATCAACCATTAGTGGTTTGTCCCTCAATAATAGCAAAGCCAATTGGCAATATATTTTGATTACTGTCATGTGCAACTGCTACTAATAAAGCTCCCTTTATTTCTCCTATCAACATGTATAAGCGGTTTACAGTATTTGAATGGTCTAATGCAAGGACCAAAACTCCAAAATACATGACATAATATTTGAACATCAAGAACTAACTCATTATTGCAATAAACCTTAACAATATTAATCTAAACAATTGATCCACAAACAATGTCACACATTGCTACAGACTATTGCGGCAGGGTGTCATAGAAGGCTTCTTAGTGACCATACACTTTCAATTGCCTTTTGTTTTGACATTCATGCTTTCTGATATGTTGTTGTGTATTCATATTGAGTCTAAACTTCACTAATAATAAATTTTATCTTGAAAGAAGGGTTAGATTTTACCATTAGCTTAATACATTTTACAATTGTGTTTGAATTCAACTTTCTATGATCCTATAAAATGCTAGCCCAACTACAATTGTGTGGCCTGTTATACTCTCCAATTTTCCAAAAATATTTGTTCTTTCTCAAATTAGCTCGAACAAGCCATCCACAATCTATGTCATAACTAACACATTTATAGTAAAATGTATTTGGTTCAAATTCGAACACTTTGTAGTTCACTCCTTTTGATATACTATAATGCTTAGTTGTTTGTATAACAATTTCTCAATCATTAAATTGCATCCCAACATACAATTCTCCATGTACCTCACAATTACCTATCAAACACAAATAATAAAAAAGTAATTCAAAAAACTAAACATAGAGTACAATTAAAATATTTCAAACATCTAAGTTAACATACTCTGAAAATTCAGGTGCTTGCATAGTTGTAAGATCTAAAGCATGTATGAACAATGACTCCTCAAATGGATGTTGACCAATCATTGGGTTTGAAAAATGGGAATCTTCATCATCTACATTCTCATCATCACTATCCTTATCACTTTCAAATCTTCTTCAAATTTGGCGTCATCACTTTCAGTGTTGTTCTATTTCCATTTTCTGTTAGGAATAATGCTCACATAGGCTTCATCCTTGTCACCGCTACCTTCTGTATATGCACCAAGTGTAATTTGTTTTAAAAATAATATATAACACAACGATAGGATTTAGGACATAACACTCACGATGTATGTGAAACATTTGTTGAATATCGTCATTATTATTGTTTATTGCATTTCCTTGATATTGCATCAAACCTCTAAAAATAGAAATTGGATACTTGTATGTCATACTTTCTACTATTTTTAGAGTTTTCATTTCAATACATTAACAAAGCTAGTATTTTAGTGCTTTATATGATATATTGTAAGAAATATACATACAAATTGGCTTCTCATACATAAGTCTCATACTTTCATTTGTGTTTGCAATAATCTCATTATTAAAATAGACTACTATATTTGCACTCATTTCTTTCTTCACTATAAAGTAGTAGAAATGAAGAATTGAACGGTAAGATTATGAGAAATGAAAAATAAAACTTTAGAGAAATGAAATGGAGTTTTTGAGGTGTGATTCGCTACAAATGACAAAGGCCTGTATGTAGAACAAAATTTCAAAAGATGTCAATGGTAATTTTACTTTTCAAAACTCGTCACTGATGATTTTTGCTTAGAATTTTTTTTAATACCTATCACTAACGATTTTTAGAGTTATTTTTAATTTTTTAAAAAACTTGCCACGAGTAATTTTTGAAGGTATACAATTAATATTTTTTTAAAACTAGTCATTGATGACTTTTCATTTTAATTTTTTTGTCTTAAAAAATCGCCATATAGGTAAGTTTTCTAAATTCCTTTATTCAAATAATACTTTTCAAAAGCACACATTATGGTAATTTTATAAAAAAAAAAAACTCAATTTTTTTTGCAACAATTTAGTTTGATTTAAGTTCATTCACCCAACCTAGTCAACTTATCATATTTATGTAAAACTTTCCATTTGAATATTGTAAAGAAACAAATTATTTTATGTGGTTCTTACGAGTTTTTCCTATTGTGATTAACTCTGACTAAAGTGTTGCTATCATTTAGGGATAGGGGTATTGACGACTTAGAAAAAAGAAACTATTAACAATTGCAAATTTACTATATTGGATCCTACAACATCTGACATATACCAATATGATTCTCCATTTGATGCCTTCACTAGAAATAGTCAGATTTTTTTTTCTCTTTTCTCAAATTGAATATATAGCAAATAGATAACTTGGATCCTGGGTAGTTGAAAAAAAAAAAAAAAACCTGCAGGATGTGTAATCTAATTTTTCACCATTTGTTTTCTTTAATTATATATACATGGTTAAGACTAACATGAATTAGCAAAGTAAGTGACTTCTAAGTGAGTGATCATTTTTAAACTCTTAGATGTATTTTAAAATTTATGTTAGTTAATTCTTCTGCACCTTTGTTGCATATTCTAGATTTTCAAACCTCATTTTAAGAAGGTATGCATTTAGACGCAGTTTTAATTTATAATAAAAAAATAACTTTAAATCCTATTTATGAAGTTAATGATTTTTAAAATTTAAACTTTCACATCCATTCTTACAGTCTCAATTCATCATAAAAATAAAGTTTTATATTGATACATTGTTCAATGCTTTTTTAGATCTTTTCCATGTCCTCCCTGTACAATGATCGCTTTTGCATCGCGTAACATTCGCTTTAGCCAATTTTTCTAACTTAAGCAAAAATTACAAAAAAAAAAAAACTCACTGAAAGTAATTCATTTAAGCAATACATAAACTTCTTAAGGTGGGTAATACAGTACAACATTAGCTTAAGCAACAAATATTAGGTTAAGCTAATGGGTGTTGGCTTAAGCGAATTTTGACAAAAATTTTAGATTCATCTCTGTTTTTAGTTCGCTTAAGATGGATTGTGACTTAAACGAATTTTGATAAAATATGATAGTTCATCACTATCTAATTAGGCAGATAATGGTGGTTTAAGTGAAAATTACAGTGAATAAATTTCTTACATTTCTTTTTGTTTAACAAAATCTCTTTAGTCAATACTCCTATTCTAATCAAACCAAAGTGTTAATTTTTAAGATAATTGGAATAAGTATATAATATTTTCAAATTTACAAAGATCACAATTGAAAGTATAACAATCCAAAGAGAGAATGATTATGTAAGTTTAGGGTTTATGGTAGATTTGGGAAACAGGTTTGCATACTATTAAGGAAGAAAAAATATGAAGGAATTGAAATAAGAGAATTGAAGAAAGCTTTTACAATAATATTCTAAGAGAAAATTACCTAATTTCATTGGATTTCTTACCTTGAATATCTCTTTTTAAACTTTTATCAAATGAATTTTCACTGTAAAAACTCAATTTATTGTTGAACTTTATATTGAAAACACAAAACAAATTCTTGAACTTGCTTAAAAAACAAAGATGTGAGTGAGTTTGAGAGAATATGATATAGGTTTATGTGAATGGACAATTATGTTCTTTCTTAAATAATAACTGCCTTAAAAAGAATTATATTAAAGGAGGTATATTTTAAATATATAATAGATTGAGTTCATCTATATACAAAATTGATTAAAGATTAAATTTTAAATATAGTGTGATTTTGTGTAGTATGACTTAAATGGACAATACCTTCGTTTTTTACTGCTATAAATAGTGTGACTTTATGTAGTATAGTCTATCTAGTTATTGCGTAATGGTATTATGTTTAAATGATAGATTTGATTTTGTTTATGCAATGGATCTTATAAAAATCCCATCTTGAAGTTAGATATTAGCCAAACCAAGGGAGTTCTAGCTCATCTTTTCTTAGTGGCGCACTAATCCGTTAGAATGTGTTGAACTTTTCTTTAGTTAGATTAATCACTTATTTATTGTATATGGATTTAATGTATTCGTTGTATCGATTCTAAAAATAAAATTCTTTGGTTACATAAAAATGCTCAACCAAAAAAGTGTCTGTTCTGTAGAGACACGTTTGACGTCAGATTATTGCGAATCTAGACATGTTATTAGTCATTCGCTACAATCAAATGAAATTAAGGAAAGATCCCAAAAAACAAAAATGAAAAAGAAAAGGGTAAGGCAACCACGGAGAGCAAGAAAGATCAAAGTCACGTTAATACTAAACTTGAAAATGATATACTGTATAGCAATACCCCCAACAATACTAAGAAGCAATTAATACAAAAGAAAATGAAGCATCTTCCTTGTAAACTGCAAAGATGAAGTCATAGCATCAATAGAACAAAACAGAAAAATCCACACAACCTTTTGCCATGAAGGTTCCACAATCCAACCATATATATATATTTACACCATATGTCATCAATGAAAAATCTATTTTCCAAACGAAATTAATTAAGCGGGCGAACGGCCTCCGCCACAGCTCTTTCCACCGCCCCAGCCGCAGCCACCACCACTGCTTCTAGAGTTTTAGTTCTACCCTACTAAAGTGAAAGAGTATATAAGACACTACTTAAGAAAATAATGTCTCCTTAATATGTTTTGTTTTGTATCTTTTCATGATCTAAGTAGGTACCACTATAGTATAATTATACTAATATTAAATTAATTATTGGCATCACCACATTGAATCACCATAACTAGCATGGTCCATCATGTCCATGTCAAAAACAGAATTGGCTTGAGATTCAATGATTTTGGAGGATTGAGAGGCACTATTGGTTGGGCTATGTCCTGGGTTCCAAATGGGCATAGTTTGGCGCACCCTTAGGTGCACTGCCTCAGCTTGGGCCACGGCCAATTGGGTTTGTAGGGCACCAATTTGTTGCTGAAGAGATGAGATTGCCCCTACACATCCATACACAGGGTCTCTTACTCTTGCATTTGCCTCATACACCATGCTGCTTACTGCATCACCTCGTTGATGCTCTGGTAAGTCCTACAAACAGCACAAGTACTTAACTCTTAGTAAATTGCGGATGGGACCCACATTCTTACATTAACTTTATACTAAATATGTATTAGTATTAGTGAGTGAATTTCTTCAAATATTGCATATTATTTAGAGTAATTTTATTGTGGATACAATTGCTTATCTTCTCTCTCTTGCTGGCCCAGTTTTTTCTTTTAAATCAAACAAGTCACATTGCTTGTAGAGGCAGCATCCTCTTAATTTTTTTTTATAATTTTCGCACTTTTTTTAAACTAAGAATATATGTTTAAATAAAAATAGGTATTCAGATTAATTTATACATATTTTCAATTATATTCAATAATTCAAAATTAACTTTATTAAAATAAAGTTTACATGATTTTAAACTAAATGGACACTTCAAGTTTCTTGTCTCACTCATACCATATCATCACAATGTAAAAGAATTATTTTTCGCTATAACTCTTATTAAATGGACTTCAACAAGCAAATAGGCAGTTTTATGCTTGATTACAAAATTGAAAATGGGCCGTTTGATGTAGGGCCCAAATCAAGTTCCTATATCATGATACGTATCTTAATAAGAAATTTATGCTTGACAAAAAAAAGTCAAGGTTAAAATTAATTTGAATACGTATTCTAATTACATTTGACGATTAAACATAAAATTGATAAAAATTTAAAATCGAGTGACACTGACAGAAACAACTTCACGTGGTGCAGGAGCATGATGTTGCTTCAATCATTTCTTTTTGTGATGACAATAGAAAGTGAAGAAGATTTTGGATTCTTAAATGTGGTTTCACACAATCACGTTACTTGTTAAGTTGCGGTTTTGTGCTTGACACTGACTTTGGGAGCCAAAACCACGTTTAGAGGCTCCCATTGGGTCTTCAAATATACGATGAAGAAAGACAATCAAGTTAATTTATCAAACAACTAAACAAATACAATGCTATACATCAACTTTTTCAAATAATTATTTTTTTCCTCATTTGTCTTATTCTTTTCTATTTTTTACGGAGCACATGGCAGACCAAAAGATGAGACTGACCTAATATTGAAATATGAAGAAATTGAAAAGCAGACAAAGAGATTAGGACGTACGATGTGAGGTTTGAATGCGCCGAATGCCTAATTTTCTCCACCTTTTCTAATTTTTCAAGGGCTACTTGGAAAATGTCAAGCGGGAAGCTTGTTAATTATAACACTTATCCCAAAATTTGAAAGAAATAATATATTCTATATTTTTAATACGCTTTTCAAATATATAAACAATAAGGGTCAAATTCTAGATTATTTTCATCATAAAGATTGATATCATGTCTTGAATCAATTGCTCTTAAAGTTTAATTATGTCAAACCCATCAATGATTTTATATTATATCATTAACAAGGCTTTGTTTACCTTATGTTTAACCACTAGCTCAAGAAAAATTATAATCCAGATATGTAGCATCACAATATGACTATATATTATTAAATATCATTCACATTAGTTTAACACTGATTGTCTGTTCTCAAATGAAGAAAAAAGGAGCAGAAAATATACCAATATTTAAAATTCATCTAAAAATCTGAAACATCTAGAGAAAAGAAAAACTACTCGCGAATAAGTGTTTAAATCTAAATGATTTTATAATTTCCTTCAAAGTGACACAAAATTTAGTAGATGCATCGGTGGTTATGGCTGCCACTGCATGCTTATCGTGTTTATGTGCACACATATACACACATTTATTTCTTTAAGAAATGAATTTTTTTTTAATGACTAATGACTACTATTCTATGGCCATGCATGGATCTGGTTGAAGGTACAAAGAAACATATAAAAAATTAGACTAGCATATATGTTTTAAATTTTAAAGTTAAACAAAAGCATACAATTGTTTTAAGTCGAGATTTTCAAAATTAAAAATAAAATAAAATATTGAGAATGAAATAGCCAAAAAAGAAAAGCTGGGAATGAACCATGTTACACCACGCCCCCCTTTAAGAGAAAATGGAGTGTGAAAGATTCATTTATGGTCAAGGAAAGCGTCACTAGCTAGTCTGCAAAGCCATTGAATATATTCTTATCTTCATACCAAACATACCAGATCATTTGGTTAAGAAAGTGACTTATCAAGGTGCAAATATTAACAGCCACACAGACACCAAATGGAGTTTTTGTTTGGAGGGTGTTGGTGAGGAAAAGAAAAAAAATACAACAGAGACCTTAAAGAATGATAATGATAATGATATATCACATCACGTGTTGTCTGTGTAATAGTTTTTCTTTCTGTGTATTTAGTTACAGTCACTATAATATTGTACCATAGTACTCCCAAAAATTACAATCGTTTGCATCAATCCTCTTAAGACTACCACCGTATCCATACATTCTTGTTTCTGAAAATGAAAATGTTTAATTCATAGATAAGACTTAGATATACGCCAATTTTTAATTCAGAAAAATAGCAAAAATATAATTAATTTAAACAGTAAAGCATTCTGAATCAATTAGTGCTAATTTAGTTTAGTTCTGTTCATTTTTAAATATTTGTTTTTTTTAAAAAATATATCTTAACTAAACAGACTGAAAAGTTTAAGGTGAAACAAAACCACGTATTAAGTTTAATACTATATCTCGAATTATAACGAGTAGACAAATTAAGAAAAAAGAAATGTTCATGGATGATATACTCTCTGAAATATTTTTAAAATATATTCCTTTTTATAATTAATCAAAATTTATTAAAATTATAAAAAGAATGCAAATTTTTCTTCAAATTTAATGAGTTTTAGTGGCACTTATGTCAGATTATTCCTATTGCTTTTGAAAATGAAAAGACAAGAGTAGTGGCATTGGAATGAAAAGAAGAGGGGAAAGAACCTGAAGCATCTTGTTGACATTGCTGGCACCGAACACTTTGTGAACATTTGCAAACTTCTGGGGCTCATCTGCGGGGAAATAAGGAGCAAAAACACAATCTTGAGCACACCTTCTCCGAAGGAGCTTGCATGCAGCACAAGGTGAAGGTGCACCTTGCTTCCTACCACTCTCTTTCATGGATCCTGCAATTATGTTTCCTTTGAAATTAAACTATCAATGTCTAATAAGACACGAGAACGATAGTGGAAGAAGATGATATATTGGTAGAAAAATTGAAGTCAAGAAAAGTGAGAGCAAGAAAAGGAGAAAAGACAGAGAGGGCGTGTGGTGTGGTGTGGTGGGGGTTAGGGAATGGAGGCGAGTGCGTTGCATTATATATATAATTTAGTAAAAGTGCAAATGGAAGGGCTCTACCATTTGGACAAAATTTTCTTACTTATTTGTATTTTTTTATTTTTCTTATTTTATTTTTTAAATAAAACTTATTGTATAAAAATAAATATTACTATTGTAGGAGAAAGAAGTACTCAATGCTCCATGACCAATTGATGTGGGTCCTACTCATAAATTGAACTCCTCTCATATTATTTTGATCAATAAAACATTGTCCTTGATGTGACATTGGGCCCCAAACATTTCTTGTCCTGTTCTGTATTTCCTTTACCTCTCATTTTCTATATTTGCAATGCGTCTTAGTGAAAGTAAATTATTATTTTAAATTAATTTTATTTGCATTTGATACATTTAAATTCTAAATTCGTGACTTTTAATAACAGCCATTGGTTGAAAAGTTACTGTTATGTTTGTGTAATTTAGAGCAAAATAGCCTAAGGAGAAAAAGATGAAAAGAGACTTGAGACAAAATTATTTTAAAAAATATATTTTAGAAGTATAAGACTAAGATAAAGATGTTAACAGTATATCTTTAACATATATTTTAAATATTTTTATTTTTATTTTTATTTAACGATACTCTGTAAAATGTTTATAATAATCAAAAATATATAAAAAATAATATGCAACCGAGTGACTATCTTTTTTTTATTAGTAATCTTAATTATCTTCTGTCAATGTTTATTAAGAAGAAAAGCGAGAGGGAGAATGAAAACAGAATATATTTCATACTTGTTTCATTTTTCTAAAATAGATTTGTAACATTAAAAAAATGTGAGTGCCTATTTATTTTTAATTTCAAGCTAATTATATTTATAAAATATTTTTTATTTTAATTTATAATAAATAAATTTTTTTATTTTACATATTTTTTTTATTTTAAAGAAATTAAATTCATCACATAAATATTTCTAGAGATTAAGGATACAGACAATTGCTTCTTTTGTGCCAGCCCCTGTTTATCATTAAGAAAATAAAGTACTCTTCTGTTCCTATTCTAACGTACGTACCAAAGGATTGACTTTTGACCTTTACATTTGTCCCATCAATTCAATCCATCGTATACTAGGAAAGGACGGTTACAACATGAGAAATATGTATCGCTGACATACATATTAAAAAACGCAATTATATTATTTATACAATTAATTTTTATAATTTTTTTATCTCTTTTTAAATTTTAATCGTATCAATTATCTTATAAGTAAAGTGACTTAAAATAAGAGAATCTGTGTTGAAAATATTTTCAAAGAATTTATATAAACTTTTAAAAATAATTCTAAAAATATAATCAAATAGAAATAAAAAATATAAAGATATAAATTTATTAGTTTCCTTTTAAATGATAAGTTATATTCATTGACCATAATAAAAAAATTATTATTTTAAAAATTTGTACATAAGTATTTCATCAATTCATATCTTAAGTGAATTTACATAATTTATTATATAAAAAAATATGATAATAGTTTATATAAAAATACATAGAATTGAATTTAATATGTTTAATTTTGCATAAAAGTATAAAAGTTTGATAGTAATAGGACAAATCATTTGAAGTGCAATGTTTCTACTCTATGTCTTTTTTATGTTAAAAATTTAAGCATGAGTTAGTATATCTGTTTTCTAATGTTATTATTTTTAAGACTCTAAGTAATAAAAGCTTATATGATTCAAGATATTTAAACTATGATCTATGATGTTCTCACCTTCTCGTACAAGAAACCCTTAAACACAATTGAGACACTCAATTTATAATATTCTCACTTTTAACATATAAAGATATATTGAAGTAATCTTGTTTGATATTCTAGTCTTAATGTCCTAATATCTGATTATTCTTATAATATTGTAGAACATTTTAAATTGAGAGATGTGGGACACCAAAACTTCAATGACAACAAATTAAAATAGCAAAAAGTCTACGAATAGATGATGTGTTGCAAATTTTGATATATTTTGGTTATTTATAAATTTTTTGGTCTAGTTATAAATTCTCAACTTTAGATTTGACACTAACTTGATCAAGTGATGTGACAATTTGCATGGCCTAACACATCCCTAGTGAGTCAAAGTAAGATGAAAGTATACATAAAATAAAATTAAAAGAAAAGATTAATGAAAATTTGTCTAGAATTTATCAATCATATTTAGTCGTAAAATCATAGATTTGAGTTTGTGGTGAGTAACTCTTTACATATAGGGTTACTAAGTATAAATTCTGAATACATAAAGTTATATATTAGACATACATGTCGCTAGATTACTTGACAATACATAATTAAAAGATAAGTGGTAAGTTTTAAAATTTATTTTCTATAACGTTTAAATGGCTTAACTCTTTAAAATATTTGCAATTATACTCGTATGTAAGGTAAGAGAATAAAATTTTTAGTTTATGAGATGACCTTGTGAGACTTCGATCCAATATTTTTGTATTTGATATTATTAGGCAAAAAGCAAATGACATGTTATTGTTGGCAAAAGAGCAGAATTGTATGGTTGAGGCACAACTCCTACCTTCTAAACCTAATCTTAGCCAGAAAATTCCAATTCTGCTCTAATTAAATAGCTATAAAATAAATAAATTAACTAATATAAATCTTTTACTTCTGCTCTAATTCTTTTCCAATTCATTAAATATTGTAGAACTGCCAACAAATTATTATCAACATATAATTCAAATATTATTATTGATGATTACTATTCAAAAGAATTTATCATGTAATCAACATATTCAATATCCTATATTTGAAAATTATTATACAATTTTTTCTTCAAAGATATTAAAAATCTACCTGTCAAACAAGAAATATTTTAATTTTTTGAAAGCTTCTATTTATGTATATATAAAATCTTAATTTCATCATAATTAATGTCACGTTTTACTTTTACTTGTACTATATTGTTATCTTTTTCAAACATTAAACCTTCTATTTCTTCAAAAAAATTTACTATTATAATAGAAAGCTAAAATAATTTAACTTATTTTTAAAAATATTAACTAAAATAAAAAAATAATTCAATTAAATTTAAAAATTAAACCAAATTACTTTATTATCTTAACTAAATTTAACCAAACAAACAAGATAATAATAAGTATTTTCAAGAATGTAAACAAATATTAAGAACACAAATTAATTCTATAATAGATAATGTGCATTAATTATGCACAGCAGGTTCATAGTTTAAATAATTTTTTTTTATAAATTAATAATGTGTCACATAACTAGATTTTTGACACATGTCAACATTTAATGTGTGACACTTGATATATGCTAACATGTACCAAATTTTGGTTATACATAGCATTTTCATTTTTCTTAATACTTCTAAAATTGACACATGTTAAGCATACTAAGTGTGACACACATTCATCATGTTTAACACTTTCAAAAGTAACATATGTCACTGGCTTAACATGTGACACAAAATTGACAAACTTAACATATGAGGAGATGACACACGTCTTTCAGCTTAGAGCACATGTTCATGGAGCTCTTTGCATACTAATTAGTATTGCTTTTGCCTATTCAATAATATGTTTCTATGTTACTCCATTTTAAAAATTTGTTTTGAATTTTTGTAGTTCAAGATTAAAAGTTGAGAAAATTACGTGGAAAGAGAAAGTTAAAAAAAGAAATTGTTAAGTATGAGAAAGTGATAGGAAAAAGAAATTATAAAATTTTCTAAATTCTTAGTATTTAAATCACCTTAACTTTAGTTAATTATAATATCTCATTTAAATTGTTAGTTTAATTTATTTTTTTCAAATAATTATTCAAAAAATACATTTTTAACATAGAGTATTTTAAATTTCTTTACAAATTGAATTCTCTTCTTTAAACTTCTCACCCAACACACTCATTTCTCGTATCATGCTTCATTTGTAGACCAATATAAAATTCCCATGTTGGGATGGCCCCTTATCCATTCTTCGCACTTTTCTAAAACTGTATACACACCACTAATCCTTATGTGTTTTTGTTTTTCTCCTCATTGTTTTTAATGACAGTTCCTTCAATCCTTCCAGACATTAATGTTGTCCCCTGTTGAGTAATTGTCCGCCACCAAATTGATTGGCTTCACGTACTACATGGTGAAGCAAATTTTTTAATACAATAATTAAGTACTCAAATATCATCTCTAAAATATATGATATGTAGTTGAAAAAAATATGACAAAAAAAGTTGAAACAAAATGTATTATTCAACAATTGGTGGCATTTTGGACTGTCAAGGATTAAAAGCAGCAATTTGTAAAGAAATGCAGAAGCTCAGTATTTGAACGATGGTTAATCCCATGCGTAAAAAAAAGGTTGTACTATGTAATATATCTATATGACAAAATATAAATAAGATTTAATTTTAGGAACAGAAGAAATTCATAAAAACAACACACAGAATGATTAAAGCAGTGGCATTTCCAATCCTTGTTGGTGTAAGTGACAAGAAGCTTAGTTCTCTTTAAGTACAGTCTTGACTTTGAATCTTTTAAATAGAAAAGTTAGGTACAAAGAAACCTTCACTCGCTTAAATGGGTTTAATCAACTCGATAAGTATAATTAATTAGGTAGATAATTTTGAGTAGTAAGAGTTTAAGACAAAAAGAGCATGCTATTTCAATGCGGTTATCTTTTCTTCTTAATTGGTGGTTAAAGTTGAAGTACTTAATGCTTATACTACACTAGTGCCAATTAGCGTAATCTTGTTAGTTAGAAAAAAAAATCTTAAAGAATTGTCTTTTTATTCTAAATTTTTTTTAATGCATGAAATTGAAATTTT